GAAAGATGCCCTTAGGGACAAATTGATTTCTGGAATTAATAATGAGGTGATACGACAAAAATTGTTGTCTGAAGACTTAGATTTTGAAGAAGCTCAGGCTTTGGCTCTCAGGTTGGAACAAGCAGAGAAGCAAACAGGTCTTTTCAGTTCGAAACAGGATGTTAACAGTTTGAGTATGAAACGTGGTAAAAATGTTTTACCTGCTAGCTCTTTTAATAAATCCAATGTAAATGGTTATTTTAAACCAAATATGGGGTTTAATGGGAGGAATAAGTGTTACAGGTGTAATTCAGTGGAACATAAAGCTAATGATTGTCCATATTCTAGTTACAAGTGCAATGCATGCAATATGGTTGGGCATTTGTTCAAGGCTTGTAAGTCCCGAAATAAATTTAACAAGCAGAATTCAAAGTCCAAGAGTGGAAGATTTGCCCCACACAAGGTGCATCATCTTAATTTGGAAGAGGAGGACCCTAGGCCTAGGCCTAACTTGGATATAGTCAAGGAGACTCGGGACTTGTGTTTGTACAATCTAGGCCTATCTGACGGTACAGAAGCTTACAAGGTAAGACTAATGATAGAAGATGTAGTTGTAGAAATGGAAATTGATAGTGGATCAGCAGTATCCGTGTGCCCGTCTGAGGTTTTTGCGGAAAAATTTCCTAATGTGGAATTAAATCATGTAAATTTGAGTTTATTGACATACACTGGTGGGGAGGTGCCTGTGCTAGGCCAAGCTGATGTAACTGTAAAATATAAAGGTCAAGAAGTTATGTTGCCCTTATTGGTTGTGAAAATGTGTCGTAGGAACCAGCCTATGTTGTTGGGAAGGAGCTGGTTGGCCAAGTTGAAACTTGATTGGCGTTCTATTTTTTCAGTAGTATCGGAAGTAGGCCTACAGAGTAGGCCTAGTAATCAAATTAATTTGACTTTGTCTGAGCCTAACCCTGTGAGTAGTGTATCAGGACCTAGTTGTAAGGATCAACTGAGTAGGCCTAAGCTTAGCAGTACAACTGAAGTTGATGTGCAAACGTTGAAAAATAAATATGCTATGGTATTTCAAACGGGAGCTGGAGAAATTAAAGGGGTTACTGCTCACATTATTCTTAAAGACAATGTAGTTCCCAAGTTTTGTAAATATAGGCCAGTGCCTTATAGTTTGAGGGAGAAGGTTGAACAAGAGTTAGACCGAATGGTTAACGATGGAATAGCCTATAGGGTTTCCAGCTCCGAGTGGGCTACACCGTTGGTGACGGTTCCTAAACCAAATGGCGTAAGATTGTGCGCCGATTTTAAGGTAACGTTAAATCCGGTGCTGCAAACAGAGCACTATCCGCTTCCGCAACCGGAAGATATTTTTGCCTCGTTGTCAGGATGTACATACTTTTCAGTAATCGACCTCACAAATGCCTATCAGCAGTTAGCAGTAGCAGAGGAGTCACAACCTTTGTTAACCTTGACTACCCATAAAGGACTTTTTAGATTGAGACGTTTGCCGTATGGGTTGTCGTCCGCACCGGCTATTTTTCAAGCAGTCATTGATCAGATTGTATGTGGGTTACCAGGTACCGTAGCGTACTTGGACGATGTTCTAGTGGGAGGCTCAACACGTGAAGAAGCTTGTAGTAGATTAGAAAATCTGTTTCAGCGTCTGATGGATTATGGAGTTCGGGTTAACGAGAGCAAGTGTAAATTTTTGCAGCCTAAGGTTGAGTATTTAGGCTATGTGGTTTCAGCAACGGGAATCAGCCCCCAGCAAGGGATTGTGTCGGCTATTCGAAATGCCCCGGAACCGAGTAACAAGGATGAGTTAAGGGCCTACATTGGGTTGATTAATTACTATGGAAAGTTTATTTACAATTTGTCATCAAAAATCAGTTGTTTTTATGATCTTTTGAAGAAGGACGTCCCATGGAAGTGGACCAAAGAGTGTTCACGCACTTTTGAGGAAAGTAAGTCATGGGTTCTTGACTCCAATATTTTGGTGCATTATGATGTGTCTAAGCCACTTGTTTTAACGTGTGATGCTAGCCCTAGGGGAGTGTCAGCCATTCTGTCTCATATGGTCGATGGAGAAGAGCGGCCTGTAGCTTTTGCGTCCAAAACTCTTAGCCCTAGTGAGAAAAATTATTCCCAACTACACAAGGAAGCATTGGCGTTGATATTCGGGGTAAAGAAATTCCACAAGTATATTTATGGTCGTAAGAACTGTGTGTTACAGACGGATCATCAGCCGTTAGCGGCAATTTTTGGAACAAAACGTGGTGTACCTAGCCTAGCTGCGGCAAGACTTCAGCGATGGGCTCTTATTCTGGCAGCATACAATTTTGAGGTTAAATATCGAAAAGGGGTTGACTTACCCCACGCTGATGCGTTATCACGTCTACCTCTTCAAGATGATGAATCGTTGGAATTGGAGGATAATTATGTTTCACATGTTGAGTCTTGTGTTCAAGTAATCAATTTCTGCAGTGTGAGTGATGATTCTCCGATTACGTCTTTGGACGTAGGAAGATTGACGGACAAAGATCCATTGTTGTCGAGGGTTCGGGACTTTGTTTTACATGGCTGGCGGGAGGTTCAAAATCCTATGTTGCTTCCATTTCAGAGGAGACGATTGGAGTTGTCAGTGGACAAGAATTGTATCTTGTGGGGAAGTCGGGTGGTGATTCCTGAGATGTTGAGGGAGAACGTTATCCAGATGCTCCATGAACAGCATCCTGGTATAACCCGGATGAAGTTGTTGGCTAGAAGCTACGTTTGGTGGCCAGGTATCGAAAAATCCATTGAGGAGACAGTGGCGTCTTGTTTTGTATGTCAAGGCACGAGAAATGCCAGTCCTAGAGTTCCATTGCATCAATGGCCGTTAGCCACGGAGAGGTGGCGCAGAGTTCACATTGATTTTGCAGAAGATCCCACGTCAAGACAGCAGATGCTCATCCTAGTCGATAGTTACTCAAAATGGATTGAGGTGTTTCTGATGAGCTCTACATCTTCCTCCAAGACTATAGAGAAGCTTCGGACTTTGTTTGCAGCCTATGGTTTGCCCGAAGAATTGGTTTCTGACAATGGTACCTCATTCACTAGTCTCGAATTCCGTGAATTCCTTAGGAAGAATGGTGTCAAATTCACCCTGTCCCCACCCTATCACCCGGCATCCAACGGAGCCGCAGAACGTTCAGTTCAGGAAGTCAAGAAGAGTCTGCTGCGCCAGGTCTTGAGTGAGAAGCGCAGTCAGCCTACTTCTTTACAGCATAAGCTAGATAATTTTCTATTTTCCTATCGCAACACCCCCACTTCAGTGACAGGCGTGAGTCCGGCTGAACTTTTCCTACGCTGGAAGCCTAGAACTCACTTAACAATGTTGAAGCCAAATTTGCTTGATGAGGCCAGGAAGCAACAGGAGTTGCAAAAACGGGCAGCAGATAAACACAGAGGCTCTGATAGGTCCTTCAGTGAAGGCCAGCATGTGTTAGTAAAGACGGTGAGGCAGGAAAAAATTTCTTGGGTTCCTGGCCAAATTGTGGAGTGTAGAAGTCCAGTAACTTATCTTGTGAGGGTCCTGAATCGGACCAGGTTTTGTCACGCTGATCATCTAAGACCAAGTCAGGTGGAGGAAGAGGAAATATTGGTTAGAAGAGAGGAAGTGCCAGATCCACCGGAATCAGTGACCGTCAGCGTGTCGCCGGAGAGAGTATCTCCAAGTCGGCAGAGTTTGCCGTCATCGCCAAGTGCCAGAAGTCCACCGTCACCCCAAGGACGGAAGTCGATGGAAGAGGGGCAGCGTCCAGAGGTGCAGTGCAGTCCAACTCCTGTGGTTAGAAGATCGCAGCGGACTGTGCGCAAACCAGCTAAACTGGACTTGTAAGTGTGTATACACACGATTCAAAAAGAAGAATTTTTAGTTGATTATTAAAAAAAATATATATAAAAAAAAAGAAGAAAAAAAAATGGAAGTTAAAAAATTGTTTGGTTTTAAAGAACGTTTTATGTTGAATTAAAGTTTTATAAGAAGTTTTAAGTTGTGGGCCAACTATTTTATAAGGGTTGGCGAGTGTAATATATAATCAAGGCTTAAGAGGACTAGATTGTTTTAACGGTGTTGGCTGCACTGTACCAATGCCGTGACGTCATTGCTACCTACCAGATTGCCCGCTGAACGGCTGTCTAACGTCATCCATGCTAAAAGTAAGTCATGTTCTATGTTGTGCGTTATACCTAAAAGTAGTGCAGTTCTTTATACATTTCAGCTATGTTAGTCTACATGTCTAAACAACTAGACTGGGACTGAGACAGTGGTGTCGTCCTGTAATCCAGATACTAGGAGGTCCCGAGTTGTGGATATTTATAGGCATGCACTGTGAATGCGATACTCCCTGGTGTGGATTAACGCCCGCAGTAGTGAGTATTAAGACTATCCACAGTACTATCCTGATAATTAGACCAATTCGTTAATACCAAGGCAAAAATGTGGTTCGGATTCCATTATAAACTGTAGGTCCCTTAGTTTCCATTAGCTGTATGGGCTATTAATTAACAGCTGTGTCGGCCTTAGTCACTGACAAGACTATAAGATCACGCCACTCATCCTTCACTCATATTTGGGTTAAAATATGCACATAGTGGCATCCCCATCTTAAATAATCTATCCATTTATAACTAGCAAAAAAACTTGTTACTGTACTAGTAAAGATGGCAAAAAGTATTGTACGCAGCCAAAGGTTTCTAACAAAACAAAACAATGTAGGATAAAACTGATAGGCCTACTAGGATAAAAATGAAAAGGAACACATTTTTACTAGCCTAGGTGGACAAATAGGCTACATAGGGTCTGTTCTCTTCTAAGGAGATTAATTAGAACTAAACCATAGGTAGTATGCAAAGCAAACACATGTTTCCGAAAACTATAAAACTTCTATGATTTGGGTTATACCTAGAAAATTATGTTGAGAGCTCAACTAACTTATTGCATTAACCTTAAGTTAATTTGTCACACTTACTGTACTGTATCTGCAACATATTTTGGAAAGTTTGCCTCCTCAAAATGTAAAATTGGCTTTGGAGCATCACCATACACCTTTATTTTATGTGTATCATAAAACTTTTTCAGTTCTTCTACAGGCCGGTTCTCCGTATTCGGGTGAGGTTGATAAAAGTTTTTGCGAAAAGTGGTTAGTTTACTATTTTTCCAATCAGGTGGATTTATATTGTCCATAGGTGCGTAATTGTTGTTCCTCTGATTCCATGCTCTGGGACCCTCAAATTTACGAGTGTAAGAGCCTGAATATTCATCCCTTTCCCACCGGTCACCTGTGCCGTTGTCATTAAAATCATGGAAGTCCTCTCTTTTTCTGGCTGTATAATTAGGTCTGTTGAAGGACCTGAAAATAATTAAAAAATGGGTTATAGATTTTTGCAAAGCCCATTTATGTACTAAAGGCAAACCTCAACATGTACTTAGCTTTTCTTTGACTATTTTTAGAAAAAGACAGGTCTTTTCTTCTATTCCTATGCTATATTGATATTCCTAAAGTAGTTGAACAGTTTTAAAATTTAAATACAAGTAGTTTAGTTGAAAGTTTGTTATTTTACCCAGTTTCAAGAACTTTTAATGTAATTTACCTTTTGTCTTCTAGAGTCGCCTTTAGTTCTTGCCATTAGTGATATAATATATAAAATAACGAAAACACACACACAGTAGCATGAAAGTCAAGGGGAAACCAGTAATTTCGTTGTGGGTCTTTTTATTGAATTGTTTCTACTGACAACAGAGCCAGATTTCCCAATAGGCCCAGGCCTATGGGCACAAGCTAGAACAGGGGGCACACCACCAAGGGAAAATATCTTTTTTAATCTATATATATATAAAATCCACTGTATGTTTGTTTGTTTGTCCTTTATGGACTCCGAAACCACTCGACAGACTGTAATGAAACTTTTAGGCATTATTAAGCATTATTCAAGGATGGTTTGAGTGAAGTTTGGTCCAGATCCGTCAAAAGAGCTCCGCCCCAGTAGCTCTGGAGTTTCCCATGTTAACCTTACGAGTATACTCATATTTAAATGGAATTAAAGAATCTTAACAGCTGGTTCAACTAAACAATTTGATTCTGTGAAGTTCCAATGTATGTTTGTATGTTTGTCCTTTATGGACTCCAAAACCGCTCGACAGATTGTAATGAAACTTTCAGGCATTATTAGGCATTATTCAAGGATGGTTTGTGTGAAGTTTGGTGCAGATCCGTCAATAGGGCTCCGCCCCAGTGGCTCTGGAGTTTCCCATGTTAACCTTATGAGTACTCATATTTAAATGGAATTAAAGAATCTTAACAGCTGGTGCAACTAAACAATTTGATTCTGTGATGTTCAATAGCATTAAAAAGTTAATAGGTTTACCAACGGGGTGCAGCACTATATTTATTTTTAATTTATGAGAACAGCTAATTTGCAACCAAAAGGTGAGTGAGCGTAGCGAACGAACTTCAACCTGGAGGCGAGTTAGCGTAGCGAACGAGCTAACCTGAAGGCAAGTGAGCGCAGCGAACGAGCTCCAACCTAAAGGTTAGTGAGCGTAGTGAACGAACTTCAACCAGGTCGTGATTGAGCCATGCGAACGAGCTCATCTTGAAAATGAACGAGCATGTGACATAAAACCACAATAGGACAGGACGACGTCTGTCGGGCCAGCTAGTATATATATAAAATCCACTGTATGTTTGTTTGTTTGTCCTTTATGGACTCCGAAACCACTCGACAGACTGTAATGAAACTTTTAGGCATTATTAAGCATTATTCAAGGATGGTTTGAGTGAAGTTTGGTACAGATCCGTCAAAAGAGCTCCGCCCCAGTAGCTCTGGAGTTTCCCATGTTAACCTTACAAGTATACTCATATTTAAATGGAATTAAAGAATCTTAACAGCTGGTTCAACTAAACAATTTGATTCTGTGAAGTTCAATAGCATTGGAAAGTTAATAGGTTTACCAACAGGATGCAGTAGTATTATTATTTTTAAATTTATGACCACAGCTTATTTGCAACCAAAAGGTGAGTGAGCGTAGCGAACGAGCTTCAACCTGGAGGCGAGTTAGCGTAGCGAACGCCTATTCCTGGGTAAGAAACATATCCAAATATCATACATTTATATCGTCCGGAAGTCCTTGGTTGGGTACTCACGCAGTCGCCATTTTTTTTCACTTATTAATTGTTTTCTAAAATGTTGTAAAAGATACAAAATTGAAACATTGCACAAACATTTATGACAACTAGACAAAGCTACAACAAAATTATGACAATTTTTTAAATTCGTTAATCAAACTGACAGCCATTTAAAATTTTGTTTATTAAATAACTCAAAAACCTTTGATTTTACAACAATTTTACAAGAATAACTTTTTTAAGGCAATTTATATCAAATCAATTGACTCCTTCGTTTATAAGATTGGACGAATATTAACTGAGACGAGGTGTTAGCCCGTCCTACGTACGGGAATTGAGTAGTCAGTTAAAACTGTGTACAATTCAGAAGAGCTGGTTTACACGTATAAAGACAACTTTTCTTCCAGTTTTAATATGAAAAATCATCTTGTAAACAAATGTTGCCTGACCAAATATGTATTTATCCCATCTTATGCCTATACGATATGCATTTGAAATCCGATAATTTTCAATGAAACAGCAATTGTGAGGATGTGAAACGCGTTTAAGTGAGATTTGCGGCTGATTCGCACACTGATTATAAGCAGCCTACAGTAGAGAGAGTAATTGTCAATTAAATAGTTACTAGTTAGCCGCCCGTGCTCTGCCACGGGAATATTGTCAAATCAAATAAAATCGAATCAAAATCATGTTTATTTCAGTAAGTAAATACATTGTTACAATACTTTGCCAGTAAAAATTTCAGAGTTATGCAATGATATAAATAAATAAAATAATATACTAACATAGTCATTAAATATGAAATGCCTCTCACATAGGCTACTACCCGTGCGTGAGAGATTTCCGCTATCAGGAAATAATAATATTAGAAATTGAAAAAAAAAATAGATAAAATAAAAGACATTAATAATTAACAAATACTGTTTATCTTTGTATTTTATTTAGGGACTGCTTTTTTATATGAAGTAGAACGGATAAGTTGGGCCCGTATAAACAATTTATGTTAATCAAACCAATATATTAGTTTAACCAAATGAATGTTTTAAATTAATTCGAGTTACATTTGAAAAATAAATGGTGTATGAACTGCACAATGCTGATAACCTAATAAGCTACTTATGCTATGGAGATAATTTGTTATTTTATATTCCTACATTCGTTGTTTTCTTGTTCATTACATTCGTTGAGCGGAATAAAGATAGTAATTTAAATCACGCATCAGCAGTTGGCCGCATTTCACGGATCTTTGACCCATTCTGTAAGTAACAGCTGCGTATACGTCGTATAGGCTATAATATAAAGTTGGGCATACTTTGGTTCAATGTTAGAGGGTATTAACGAATCCGATGGTAAACGGAGCCCCGGATCTTAAAATTATATAGGCCTATACTACCAGAATGATGATTCATCTAAGTGAGACTTATAAACTCACCATTGCAAATGCAGAGTTGTAAGATCTTATATTATTCAAATAGTTTTTTTGTTTCTTTTTTATTTTATTTATAGCCTATGTAGTCCATGTTGATAAGATTTTCTTTTCTATGAACTCAGAATGTCGATAAGGAGCTAATTTTACCTTCCCCTTGTGACAACATAAGGAGAAAATACTTGTGTCGTGTCCCTGTTAGTCTGTTCTGACTCTAAATTCATAGATTTGCAGTAGTAACAAATCCAATCTAACGACCCCAATTCAAAAGAGTAGGCGTTTTTTTAGGAACTTCCAGAGCACATTTAACACCATCACTGTTATTTACTTTTTAGTTCCATGGCTCCCCACGTTTTTTTCGTTCTGGTTGTCTCTTTACGCACAGTTTCCACCTTTACTTTTTCTTTTTGTACTTTTCACACCCTGGGGATTATGATAAAGTTGTATAACACTGTAATGACCCGAGTCAAATTTGCCTTTAAACATCAAATCACACACTTTTTTCGCCAGAACCAAAATCGTAAGTCACAGTTTCTCAAGCAACTTCCCTGTGTGCCTACTGGAAAAAATAGTTAGGGTATAGTTCACTGATAAATTGTAGTTCTACATATCCAGAATACTCGCCATCTTGAGAAGGTAAAGATTGGTACTACTGAACGTCAAACACTGATCTTAAGTAAGATTCATCATCACCTACAATAAAATGTTTGTATGTTTCCCACTCATTAGCAATTATCTGCACACCTTGCAAGTGGATTTCCCCATGATTGTTCTGGTGGGATAAATGATTTTGATCGGAACAAACAGTTTCCGTCCCCTACTTTCGGTATAATTTCACGTTCCATCCATTCCCTAACTCAAACTCAATTACCACTTTCCTTTGGATCATTTTGCATGAAAAGTAACACATATTTCGAAAATACAAATTTATATTGTAGTTACACGTATTCGTAATCGCCATCTCCAGAAGGTAAAGTTTGGTACTGCTTAACGCCAAACACTTACCTTGAGTAATATTGATTACCTATGATAAAATGTTTATATGTTTCCCACACATAAGCAATTTTCTACACAACCTGCAAGCGGATTTCACTATGATTGTTCTGGTGGCCGTAGGGAATAAATTATATTGATCGGAATAAACAGTTTTCGTCCCCTACTTTGGGTATTATTTCATGTTCCATACTCAAACCTTTCGTCCCCTACTTTGGGTATTATTTCATGTTCCATACTCAAACCTAAAATCAATTAGCACTTTCCTTCAAATCAGTTCGCAGGAAAACTAATACAGTATACGAAAATACAAAATTTACACCAAAACATAGGCTACAAATATTGTTTAAATAACACATTTTGGTATAATAAGTTAACAAAATACACTTTTCCTTGATCGAAATTGTGTCTGTTTATAACAGGAACTTCTAGATTAATAATTACATACCGAAAGTGAGGTTATAAAAATAATAACAAATGTCTGACAAACATTAAACAGCTGACAAATCATTTATAAACTGTGTATTATAATCTTCCATAAGAATTGTATTGACTCGACCTTTGAAGGGCTGTAGTGCTTAGCCCTTAGAAAAAACGTAAATTCTAAGGAAGTTCGGCAAATCTATGCATTATATCCTTTAATTTGAGACATACATCTTGTAGATCGGTCCAGTAATAACTGAGAAAACAGTGTTACAACTGTGTATTAAATATATAGATTTTCCTACTCTTTCCTCAAGAAGTCGAGCAGTAAAATCATTTGCATATCCTTTTCATTTAAGACTCGTGTACAGAGCCTTTATTTGTATTCAGCAATGGTCTTAATTATCTCTTGTGGTCTAGTTATCTCTACTAATCTTACTTATTTCCCATAATCAATGACAAAATCATAGAGTAAATAAAATAACCTCATAGTCCAATAGAATATTTTTATATACTGTTACTTAAAACATATTAGATTGCACTAAAACAAACCGAAGATTACAAAGATTGCCTAAAAAGATTATTTGAGCATCCTAGTATTTGACTATGTATATTTAATGAATCTGTCATAATCTAACCCAAGAATTGAACGTATCCAATTATTAGCATTACACATAGTATAAATAAGTCAACACTACGTAAGTCTTTTAATTTTTATCCAAATGCTGGATTTGTGTCACAAAACACTGAATGTTTACAGCTGTTATGTTAAGCAAATTATATAATACCAATAGCTAGAGTAGAATGTTACCGTCGTCTGCTAGACTTTAAAAAAATTAAACCTTAAATTCTAAAAAACTGGGACCCTAAACTAAAATTATGGCTTCGACATTCCCTAGTTCTCAAAATGATCTTTCTTTTCAGCACAAAAATCATGAAAATCTGTCAAGTGGTTGATTCAGAATCGTGAAATAAAAAACCCTGTCACGTTTTAATATATAAGATATGACAGCTCTAGTAATACGTGACCGCTAGAGGTTAGTTTTAGTTCATGCCGAGGCATGTGGCTAAAGTCTGCCACAAACATGCAACAATACGACGAGTTTGTCTTTAAAATTAAATATTGATCTGAGTTTGCAATAGGGTTTTAACAAATTCAAAAGGTACTCTCCAAAGCACCATTTTACTTGTCATTCTCTCCTCAGGCTTGAGGCTCACTAAATTTGACCGGAAATATAGGTATGCTTGGTTTTGCTTGTTCAGTACAATTTAGATGCAGTATACTAACCAACACAAGTAAGACTTAACATCACATTGCAAAGTGTACAGATTGTTTTTCATGTCTAGTTTTTGTTGGTGTCACTGGGCACTAGTGTCAATAAAAATTTGGTCTATTAATAGGGTTGATTTTATAAATCAACTTCTTGAAATTCAATTAATTATATTTCAACTTCTTGTAATGTAACCAGGGGACGAGCTATTGTTTATGGTTAGATCGTTTTATTTGGCTAAACAAGATTATAAATAACTCAAATAACAAGAATTCTCTTTAGCTGATCCATAAGGATGACATTTGGGAATAGGCCTATGTTTAATCTATGATATCACGTATTGTACATTGTTCATGTTTTTTGGCCTGAAATTTCAAGCTACAATAGCAATGGATGCTTTGTTGCAGGAATGCTCTCATTTTGTTTCAGTCTTACAAACTCGAGCTCACTATTTAATACACAAGTGTTTAAGGCGGCATTTTGTTAAGGCCAGAACAGAACCAAGGGGTATAGTTTCTTAACTGGGCTACGCTAATTTCGTTTCAAACTATTGAATTGAAAATAGTGATTATCTTAATAATCAATATTTTAAAATATAAAAATTAAACTAGGGTATCATAACCTATCCTAACCAACCAAAATTGCTGATGGTGAAAAAATTGCATGAAGGTTTAAGTACTAATTGAATCGATAGTTTCAATCGATATTAGCATAACTTAGCCCAGTTAACACATTCGCTGCTGAAAACCTTTAAACAGGCGCTCGCCAATGGCGGCGAGGCCCGGGCGGAGCCCCGACGCGCTAACTGAATCAGTGATCGCTATTGGTATTGAAATATCTCAGTAAGACGAATCACAAAAGAGCAGTGGTGATTGTTCTGCGTTACTCCGAAAGACGTAGTTCACTGAAACACCCAAAGGTAGCAGCACTGCCTGGATCAATAACCAGAGTCTTTGTAGTACGGCTCGAACTGAGAAAATCCCCAAAAACGGGACAAAAGCACTGCCAGACGGGATTTTACGGGCAATTTTTTTACCAACCTACACCAGAATAAAGCTCGCATTATAAGCTACAGGCTGGTAAAGATTACAACGTTCCCCGACAATGGCTGAACCACACTGATCCGGCAAACAATGCAATGCGCGCTCCCCCACCCGTGGACTCCTCAGCTGAGACGCGCGGGATCCACCGGTGGACCCGCCGCATTGAATGTGTTAAGAAACTGTACCCGAACCAAGTAAACTTAAATTCTTTAAAAACTTGCCATGATAAAATTGCATTGTGGATGAGAGGTGTTTAAGAAATTAACATATAGGCTAGGTTAGGCCTGATAGTTTTTTTAGTAAAGTAACATTATCCAGACTGGGGGTGGAAAGACTATAGGGCCCAGGTGCACTAAATTGCTGAATCTTTCCAAAGGTAGGCTACAACTGAGACCTAAAAAATTCTAAATTATTTCAAGATAAACTGAGGTCTGGGCTAAGCTCAAAATACCTACTTTGTAAGTTATGGTCGCCATTTAATAAGAAAGTATTAAATATTAAAGTAAGCTTAACGGTAGGCCTACTTGGAAAAGGGAAAATCCTTTTTAATGTAGGCCTAAGTTAGCTTAAGCTTAACATTATGTTTTAAGAAAACTAGGCCTAAGTTATTTTAAAGTAGGCCTAGTGGGATTTAATTAATAAGGAATAAGTTACTAAGGTCTAAATGAAACAAGGGATTTATATAGCCTACCTAAGGAATAGTAAGTATACTGTATTACGTTACTAGTCCTGAAAATAAGTGTTTACCGGACGAGTGTGGTTGTTCCCGTACGTGAGTTACGTACGATAGTTTACGCCATAATACTACTAAATCTGTACAAATCCTTATATATTTCCACCAACTAAAGGACTAAAAATCACTAGTCGTAACCTCTAAGAAAGTTTATGTTTTTGTTTATAACCACTCATTGCCACCTAAATACAGTATTATCAGCTGTTTAGTGTCCGGTAAAACTCATTAAAGTACAGTAGTACGCAATGAAACCCCATTTGAATAAGCTGGCGGCAAACAGCTGGACTAAATTATTTTTACGCCACACTACATTATTTTGACGAACTTCCCACGCAAGGATTTAGTCCAGAAAACAGCTGTTTGCCGCCAGCTTAATCAAATGGGGTTTCATTGCGTACTACTGTAGGCCTACTGCAATGAGTTTTACCGGACACCAATCAGCTGATTATACTGTATTTAGATGACAGTGAGTGGTTATAAATAAAAACATAGTGATTTTTAGTACTTTATTTGGTGGAAATATATAAGGATTTGTAGGGATTTAGTAGTATGGCGTTAACTATCGTACGCAACTCGTCCAAAATGTGTGTACCGGACTCGTATGGTAATCCCCTACTCGACTTCGTCTCGCACGGGAACAACCACACTCGTCCGGTAAACACTTATTTTCAGGACTAGTAACGTAATATACTATTGAGCTACTTATGCTATTATGCAGCTTGTCAACTAGGTACGCTTGATAAGTTAAATATCGTTCATTTATAAATGAGTTACTTACAAATTTCTTGCTGCTGAATAACCTGATATTTCATTTCTGATAGCTCTTCCACCATACCTAGCTTGGATTCTAGTGGCAACTTGAGATACAGCACCTGAAAATTTCAAGAAATTGTTTGAAGATCGCTAACTAGGTTATATGTTCATAGAAATGTTCACACATAAAATAATAACTTAGTCATAAATTGGACTATACTTACGAAACATTACTAGGCGGTGTTGGTAAATGATAAGTATTATCACCGGTCAGTATTTGAAGTTCGCGGACAGGACATAGGATTGCACGAAAAGTAAGTGGTAGGCGAATGGAATTTATAGGTTAGAATTTAATTTCACATTATTTTCTCAGTATGTAGTATGTGTGCGGTCGCGGTCTGCTGAGTAGTGAGTGCTGATGAACATGAAATTTGATTCAGTCTCACTCAGTCTCAGTCCGATTCAGTTCTCTTTTTCAGGTCACTTCAGTCTTCAGTGTTCAGTGATTCAGAAAAATTATCCAACCATTTATCCAACAATACCAAGATGAAATAGTTATTTGTGCAACTAGTGAGAAAAGTGAGCAATTGACTCACTCGAGAGAAATCCTTACTCACGAGCCATAGGCGAGTGAGGAATGGTTTCTCGAGTGAGGCAATTGTACTTTGAACTCGAGTTGCACATTATACTTTTCCTACAGTTACCATAAAACAAACAAATTAGTGAAGAAACATAACCTATTTTTACACAGAAGTGAACTTTTAAAACATTTAATGTGAAGTGACAAATACAACAATACAACAGCTGACCAGCTGATTTACAGCCAGTGCTGCCAACGTATTTCGCGCGCATACGACGTTGCCTGCATTTTACGCGCTCACTATTTCGTGCTTTCACGTTGCAAATCTGGGGCCCTATTTTTGAAATGGTTGACTGATGAGTTGAGTGTCGAGTCATTCTATTTCCAATCGTTTCGTATTTTTGAAACGGTTGACGGTGGACTTATACAACCAAAACTACTCAACACCTATCGAGCTGTTGAGTGGAGGTTGACTGCACTTTCTTCTTCCTCTCTTTCGGAAAAAAATTACTCTTTTTGAGACGACGCCATATTGTTTTGTTATTGCTTTAATTTACTAATTGCGATTTAGAGGTTATGTATTTGTTGTCAATGTATTAGCACCCAATTATGCGATTGTTTTCTGTAGAATAATCGCATTTTAATTTTATTTACTGTGTCAATACTAGACTATTTAATCAAGGGTTTTAATCTTGTTGGAATGTTTGAAATAGACTAGGCATACTAATTGAACTTATTATAAGATAATTATTGTTATTAGACCTATGATTTAAGGTATTAAAGATTGTGGTAGAGAGAAACAATATCATAGTTTGTTTCAATACAGTACCATTCACCTAATAAAGGGATCAAATTAATTTAAGTTACGATATGCTTCCAGTGCAATGGCAAATGGCCGCTTTAACCTAAATAAAAAACAATTAAAAATAACATAAAACAAACCGATGAAGGAAACTAAAATAAGGTGATGTGTTCCGAAATAGAGACGAAGAAAGCAATTAATAATGTATTTAGGATGAGTGTAGGACCTAAAGTAAAGTGCAGCCTATGCCTAAACTTATAATTAGCTACACCCTAAAACAAACATCCATAGTAAATTTTATTTTTAATACTTAAGTTTAGCCTATATAAGTTAAGGTACTTTGCAATTAAATTAAGCAAGACATAACCCATTATAACCTCAATCTCTCAAGAACGGAGTTGACAGTTTACCTCAGTGTCTCGAAATATGGCAGATTGGATTGAGATTAGCTGCCAGATTTTAGAGTAAGAAGAGGTTAAATCGAAGTCCGCAAGAACTCTGCATTGTGATTGGTTCAAAATGACGTCATCTGAATTTTTGACGGTCGTATGCTCTACATTTCCACCACGAGTCTCTCAACTAGTGATTCCCAACTCGCTTCCCAACTGTTGGGTTCAGTGTTCCCAGATTGGCCGTAGTCAAATATCGTACACGCGGTCCTAAATTATCGTATTTCACGAAAAATTATCGTACAATTTTAAATAACAATCGTAACTGGCTTGAGTATTGAAATACCTAATAGACTTATATATTTTTTTATTATAAATCTCAAAATCGCCATAAAACCATATTATTTTTAGTTTTGCACGTTGTAATCATAGTAGGTAACTGATATTATGTGAATATTTCTCAACCTCAACACAAACACTACACCAGTATTTTCCTTCCACCATGCACTCACGGCCACCTTTAACTACAGGCCGCGGCCTGGTAGAATTGGCATCTCCACAAGTGGTATGTTGTTCAGTGACAGACGTCCCATAAGATAACATGGCAGACAGGTGATATCAGCTCATTAATTCACACTTTATTGATTTCAATTTAAATTTATAAACATAAATTTATTAAAATATTGAAAAAAAGACATACAGAATTGAAAACCGAAACAATATGAATTAAAAATCTATTATGTACATTTTAAGCGGAGTCAATATTGTCATAGTCCAGTAACCAATATTTCGTTAATACACAAATACCATTAGCTTTGCTTCACTTCCAAACAAAATAGCTGTTACAACACCTCTTGTGATGTTGCCACTTTGAAGGCCGAGGCCTGGAGTTAAAGGCGGCCGTGCGTGCACCCGTGCACCATCGATCTCTAAAATAGAGATCGATGGCGTGCACTACTACACCAATAATTCGCCAAATGGGCGAGATTATGTACGGATGGTCTGTTCTTATGGTAACAGACTTTCTCGTGGTGTAGGAGAAGCAGAAGAAGCGAAGCAGAAGCATTCAAGCAGTTTAGAAGCACATTTCATGGAAATGGTTTCGTTTTAATTTTATTCATACTAACAGTTAACTTATAGTTTTCATAAGATTGATTTTTTATGTATTGATTTTTATATCCCATCTCTAATAAATACTGAGTTTTGATTTAAAACAGCAAAAATGTTTCCAAATTTTTGGGTATAACCTCCCAAACCAATTTTGTAAAAGAGTACTATTCAATTGCCCAAATTATCGTACAAATAGCATTATCGTACGGTGACGTATCGTACATCGTACGGGAGGCTAAATTATCGTACAAAACGATAATTATCGTACGTCTGAGAACACTGGTTGGGTTTCAAAAATACCAAATCATGTTGTTGGTTGAGTTGAGTGCTGACGATTGACTCAACTGTCAACCATTTCAAAAATAGGGCCCCTGGAGTGAGACAAAGTAATTAGAGTGAGACAATGTTAACATTGTCTCACTGATGAGCGAATTGGCCACTTTGCTTTCTCAAATCAGTGAGAGAACATGTACATTGTTAGGTAGGTAACTGTAGGAAAAACAAATTATTAGTCACGTAATTGGATGTACTATAAAAATGCAGTCAATGGTGAGTTAAAAAAAATTGTCATTCGACTGGAATGGAACATATTAATTGAAGAATATTTAAATATAAATATGTATAATAAGTCAGGATAAGGAAATCTCTAAGTTAATTGGAGATACATTTTTCATTTCCACCATCCTGCAACCCAAATAATAATTTAGACGCTTCTTCAGCTTCAGGTGTAAACCCATGGTGGAAGGGTGTGAACCGTTAATGAAGCTGATTGATACTAAAATACTTTATACCGGACTCGATGTCTTTTATTTTTTACCGACATTATCGGATAGATTGGTGGTTTAGGCATAGATTGAATTCTAGTTTGTATGCCATAAGGACATTCAGGGTGGAAAAAGTGGCTCGTGCCTTCAGGCCTTCAAGCTCGGCCAACGACTACAATGAATTTTAACTACGTAGTGCCTTTAGACACAGAAAACATACTACTTTTTCTGTGCTTTAGAAGAGTATTTTAGAATGGCTTTTGTCATAGACTACCCAAGTAGCACACATCGTTGGCCCAACGTTGGGAAATGGTCGGCACGGTTGGGAAATGGTTGGCAGGAATTTTAACGATTTAACTACAGAGCCACTGGGGCGGAGCCCGAAAGGATTTGTGAGATAAGAATATGTCTATATGTTAATCAGGAATGTGAGCTATCATCATGCCAAATTTCAGCCCAATCAATCCAGTAGTTAATTGTGTGATTTAAATTCAAACAAGCAAACAAACAAACACACAAACTTTCACATTTATAATATTAGTAAGATAAACTTGACCATTTAGCATAAATCCACATAGTTTGGTAATTACTTAACCAATGCATAAATGTAGTAGACAGTGTACACATTGGATTCTAACTTGCTGTAAAACCTAGACAGCTGATTTTACAAAATACCAAAACAATAAAAAATCATTACTGTCATTGGCATTTTTATTTGCAGTTAATTTACAAACGATTACTGATAGAAGTTTTAGACGGTTTGAGACAGAATAACTTGGAGTTTTTAAACAGTTTTTTTGTTCGTTTATCTTCTTTAGCGTTACAACATTGACTAGTTGGATTCATAAAATGGTCAAAGAAACAGGATATTATAACATCCTTGGCGTCAAACCCGACTGTACTTTAGATGAGTTGAAGAAAGCATACAGAAAACTAGCTCTCAAATACCATCCGGACAAAAACCCAAGTGAAGGTGAGCGGTTCAAGCAAATTTCGCAGGCTTATGAAGTATTGTCAACCCCAGAGAAGAGAGCCATCTATGACAGGGGTGGCGAAGAAGCATTGAAGGGAGGAAGTGGAGGTGGAGGATTTTCCTCTAACCCGATGGATATATTTAACATCTTCTTTGGAGGTGGCAGAAGAGGGCCGGGTGAACGGAAATGTCAAGACGCTGTACATCAGCTCTCAATATCCTTAGAGGATCTGTACAAGGGTTCCACGAGGAAACTGGCAATCGAGAAGAATGTTGTTTGTGAAAAGTGTGAAGGTCGTGGAGGAAAGAAAGGTGCCATTGAGAAATGCGGGACCTGCGGAGGCTCCGGAATGGAAATCCAGGTACACCAGCTGGGACCTGGCATGATGCAGCAAATACAGCGCATGTGCAGCGACTGTAAGGGCCAAGGAGAGAAGATCCCCATCAAAGATCGCTGCAAGACGTGCAACGGGAAGAAGACAGTTAGAGATCGAAAAGTCCTCGAAGTCCACGTCCTTCCTGGAATGGTTGACGGTCAAAAAATCACGTTTACAGAAGAAGGAGACCAAGAACCTGGGTATAAACCTGGTGATATTGTTATAGTACTGGATGAAAAGAGTCACCCCAGGTTTAAAAGAAAGGGAAGTGACTTGATCTTTCGAATGGAAATTGAGTTGGTAGAATCCTTATGTGGGTTCCAAAAGGTGATCCGAACTCTAGACGACAGGAATCTTCTGATCACTGTCATTCCAGGGGAAGTAGTAAAACATGGGGATATCAAGTGCGTTATAGGGGAGGGGATGCCTCAATATCGTAATTCGTCCGAGAAAGGTAAACTTATTGTTCAGTTTAGTGTAAATTTTCCATCTGTGCTTCCACCTACTGTGATGGCGCAACTGGAGCAGTGTTTACCACCAAGGCCTCAGCAAGACGTCCCTGAAAATGCTGAAGAGTGTCTTCTGAGTGATATGGACATGGCCTCCAAATCTAGAAGACGAGCACCCAGAGGACAAGAAAGTGAGTCAGAAATGCCTCAGGTCCAGTGTGCAGCTAGTTGATTGATTGGCTGAACCAGTTGTTATGATTTACTTGGAGTTTCTTGTTGTTACCGTTTTATCATTTTTAGTTCCTTAATAAAATGAGTTTAGTAACAATCTTCCAATAATGTATCTACTGGATCTTCTTTTTTAACATAACTCTACTTCTGGATAAAATTGCCCAACCAATTGACATGAAATTTATGCAGGTTACGAGAAATCATATTTCAAAAACAATTTCCAATCGTTTGAATAAAAACCCTACCAAATAATTTTAATCATACAAATAAATAGAAAAAAAACATAACAAGAAGAAGGATCAGTAACAAATACAAATCAGCTGTCTAGGTTTTACAGCAAGTTAGAATCCAATGCGTACACTGTCTACTACGTTTATGCATTGGTTATAAGTAATTACCAAACTATGTGGATTTATGCTAAATGGTCAAATTTATTTATAGTTAAGTATATTTAACATGCAAATAAAGATTAAAGAGATAAGGTTTTTAATAATAAAACATTTCTAGTTTTTTAATATATTGCACTTAGATTTTGCAACACCTTATATACTATAAAATATTACAAATGCCCCTAGTTAATCATTAGAGTATGCACTGATTTATTCATTAATCAATTATGCTTTGCATTAGTAGGTTACCGTTAGATATTGGAAATACCATGAATTAAGTCAATCCTGCACGGATTAGATACGAAAAACTCCCGAATAATGGCAAAGTTATTGAATTACTACTAGAAGACAGTAAGCTCTTTAGTCACCTATGCGCTACGTATGCGTTGTTATCAATAAATTTAAACAAGGAAAGTTTAAAAAGTTTGATTGTGAGGCAGCGTTCTTATCACAGTAACGATACTTCTTTTATCAGTTACAGGTTTAGGGCGCTACTGCAACAGCCTAGGGATTAATGCTAATATTTTTAATCGTTCTTATCCGGTTCTTATTCGCTTCTTATATTCCACATTTTTAATAAGGTTGAGTAGACCGGTGCCCCATGTTCAGAGGGATGGCGAAAGTTATTAAGTTGAATTTAGTTTTACAGTAGACCTATACTTAAAAAAAATTGTATACAGAAAACTAAATTCTCGTTATATTGTTACTTAGTGATTTTAGGGCCAACAAATCTTAATTCTGTACAGTAAATGTTTTAGAGCTATTAATATTATTTAGTTGTACACAAAATTTCATCATCATTTTTTGTGGCGATAAGAACGAGCGGCCCCTCCACAAGTTTGTTCACTGGACTCAGGCCCAACAAGCGTCTACCTATGCTATACGCTTTAGGCACAGACAATAATACTTTAATGTTAATAATACTAATAACAATAATTAATGTTAATAATACTTTAATGTACTTTAATGTGTTTCGGTTGTCTGTGCTTTAGGCTGACTGATCACTTATTGCAAACGAAAACACTGGCCCACTGAGCTATAATTCTAACTGGAGGTAGCACTGAATGTCAAAGATGCGTGTCGCCAGCCGCCATGTTTGCGTGAGGTGGGTGTCCATAAGAAGCCATATTATTGCTATAACTATTATTATACTTGGCTTAAAATACCTACTTTGTATGGTCACCATTTCAAAGAAAATTATTAAAGTATTAAAAGTATTCAAGTATGACAAAAATACTCACTGCTATACCAACCTAGTTATAAGAAGCCATGTTATTGCTATGGTAAGAAAACTTACTGCTATACCAACCTAACAAAATCAGCGACTCGCTTTTGACAGACTTCTGCCATGGCAGTGCTACCTCCAGTTATAATTTTAGCTCAGTGCACTGGCCACTAAAAGAAAAAGAAGAACCTCCTTGTTGACGAGTGACCATCTCTTGGGATACCTCGGAATGTGATCGTGACGTCATAGACTAGTTCAAGTATCGGCCAACAACCGGATGGGCGGGATTAGTTCGTAATCGTATCATAGGGGCCCGTCGCTGGTCCTTGTCCCGGTAAACCTTCCCAAAAAATCCCAGACAAAGCTCGCGGGCCCGATATCACAGCCAATGTTTGTCATGTTAATAACTGACTATATTTCTGAATTCATGCAACGATGCAACCTTATATTATACAGAGGAGAGGGCGGACATACAGTACCTAAAGTGAAAACAGCGTATAGGACGGTCGTTAAAAGGTTAAATGTTTTCGGGGAGAGAAAATAAGGAGGAAGGTAACAATTCGCAAAAAAATCTTTTGTCCTTAAGATGTCTATTTAAGAATGAATAAATTTATTTCCGCCTGCAGTCACTGTGGTCCTAGCCCTATATGTAGCCTACTACGGTAGCGTTCGCTGGGTCTTATGTCTTGGTATATTATGTAGTTTGAATATATGTAGGCATACCATTTTCTGTATATTGATAATTATGGTATTTTTATTGACTGTGTTCACATCCCTACCTATGTTATATCATTAACTTAAAACTTGAAAAATGTGATTTGAGTTGGAGGTTCAGTGTTGTGCTCTCTTAAGAGCTATTTGGCAAATCGCTGAAAACTCAGTCTCTTCAAGAGTCCAAAGTACAGTATCCCAAATAGCATACCCCATAAGGATCCTTGTTATGTACATTCCCCAAAGGTTCGGCGTGATGATTAATAGCATTTTAATGGTATTTTTGGCTAAACACCTGCATTGTTGCTCTTGCGTTTTTTCAAATACCTTAATTGGAAGGTGTTCAGACACCACAATATATTCAGTTTTAATGACTAATACAAATTGCTTCGGTAAAAGATCACGAAGAGAATTATACATAAGTAAGCTTACTTTTTTTTATCACTTATTAAGATTTTACATAAATTTGTTACTTTATCTGAAGGTGATTAGAACAAAGGAAACATGGAAGAAACCTTTAACCCCAAGTTCTATGTTCGTTTTAATTATGTGATTAATTTCACAACTTCACATGTGTGTGAACATTATCTGCAAGTATGGGTTTGTGACGATGTTTATTGCAAATTTTGTAATTTATCTGAATTGCAAATAAATGTTTTATTGTGTCTTATTTTTGTCTGCATGCTAAGCCTACTATTATTCGGCATATAAGAATAGGATATTATGTTAAAATGTCGGCTGTGTATTTTTTGATGAGTAACTCATGTTACTGCTGCTGCTGTTATTTCAAATATTTTACTTCTATACAAGTTTAAAAAATAATTTTGAAAATATTTTTCAGACAATCTATGCCGCACTAACTAAATTTACTTACTGAACATTATCCCAAATCATAGATCGTGATAAATTTGAGCTCTATTAAAATAAATTATCAATTGATAAGAGTGTGAAATCCATTTAGATAACAAGTGACACGAAAACTGTGAGTTAGTAAGGTTCATAGCATAATAGTGATTTTGCTAAATACAAAATATTAGCTCTTTTATAAAACACATTCAGTTGATAATACAAAATAATAATTTGTAATGAACATCAAAATGATTTTAAAATTTAAAAATACAAATGTAGGTACCTATTCTATGTAAAATACTGTACTTATTATACTGTAGAATTATTCTACCCACAAAAACAGTATTAAGGAAATGATCATATCAACTTTGCTTAATTAATGATTAACCAAATTATTGGATTAGGTAAATGTTTGTCCAAAGTAAATACAAAAGCTTACCTTCTTCTACACGTTGGTGTGATTGAGATATCCCAAACCCGTCATTGGAAGCTGATACCTCGTACTTTTGAGCCTGGTAAGCTGGTCATAAACAATTTAGGAACACATAATTAAACACAAACAGTTAAAAGAAAAAACACATAAGAAAATCACATTTCTATTGAACTCTAATTGATATTCAGTTTAAATTATTTTTTATTTCACATTTTCAGAACTTTTCTTAGTGTTTGCCAATTTTTAAAGCTAAAAGTTAAGTTAAACCATAGACCACATAAGTAGGTAGACTTTTTTATTCCGTTGTAAATTTAGTAGTTATATTATCTTAGGTTTAATTTCATGATTTGTGCTATAGGCTACTGTTTGGTCATATAACTAGAGGACGAGTTATTGCTTATGATTAGATTGTTTTATTTGGTTAGGTTTAAAATTACTGAAAAGGAACAAATTGTAAACAAAACACGACCTCTACAGTGCACAGGCAGAGCTAACAATAAAATTGGCTTCGGCTGTTCTGTAAGGATGAGAAATCTATTTAAGGAGTATGTTTGATCTATGGTTAAACACAAGAAAACACAAATTATAGGCTACAAGAAAATATATATTAAAAATAAATTTAACAAATTTACTTAACACTTACCATAATTAGGTTTACTGGATGTAGCAAACTGTGAAGCTTTGCTGTAAAAAAACAGTTCAAACAACAACGTTAAACACTTTTAAACAATCTGTGTTATAACCAGTATACTTTTATGCAAAAAGTTAATAGTTATACATAGTTAATATCAGCATTGACTTTTGTAGTAGTTACGTTGAACCATTGTGTTGATAAAAAAAATATATATATATAATTATTTAAGTTTTTATGTATTGATATATATTATGATTCATTTTAACAATGTTGTTTTTATTGTATTGGATTCAAGATTTTCTGAAGAAGGTATACATATAACTCTGAGAGAAGCATATATATATGAAAATATTCCTTCAAGAAATCAGTAGGCTCAATTCATAACTTTTGACATGTTGATAATGTTATAGTTTATCTAAACTAGTTAATGGAGAATCACAATAGATCTATGCTTTACAATATTTAATTATGTGACAACCTCATCTTCAGAAATAAGTGTAATATTTCACTGTGAGTAAAAAGGTTGTTCATAAAAAAACATAGTCTTTTATCATAGATAAACTATTACAGTAGTTCATCTATGGTTTTGCACCCAAATACATTTTTTTATGAAAAAGGTGAAAAAGTTTAAATTGGGCTGTGTGACTAAGAACACAGTTCACTACACTATTATTTTAATGGTCCTTTAATAATATGTCAATTATCTATTAATCAGTTAGCAAAATAAATTCCCTGCTGTATATTAATTGCTCATATGCTTAGTTCATTCATTGGTCGATAAATTATTAAAAACTAGTAGGTGCTGCATGAATTTTAAGATGCAAAAATATAGTAGTCTGTTGTACATTTATTATTTTGTTTGTTTATCAGGCAATTTTCCAACAGTTGAAGTTTTCTGTTTCTCATCGAACACATCAATTTTCCCTTCCAACTTCTTATGACCCTCTTCCATTAGAGAATACAGTTCGTCAGTCCATCCCAGCTTATCTGCCATAACTTTAGTTGCCTCATCACACTCACTAATCCACAGGACATCTTTGGAGTTCTTAACCGGATCAAAATCTACTTTCCTCGTACGTTGGGCATTTCCAAAATATTGCATGTAGACATACTCTTTGTCTATGTTTTCCCGGTTGATCACCAGCCGGGGGCAGTTTTTGAAGTAGTTGTAGAAATGAGCGAAAGGTAGAATATTCAGAGGAGTTCCCATGATGATAAGGAGGTCAGCTACACGGTAATCAGCCTCAATTTTGGTGAAGAAGTGTGATGGCAGCAGTTCTCCCAAGAAGACCACGTCTGGCAGCACATACCACATACACTGTTTACACCTGGGGATTGTGTTAGCGAGGATAAGCTCCCTCCACCAGCTGTAGTAGTACCTCACTCGACACAACATACAGTGTTGTATTCTAAAGGATCCGTTAGCCTCTACCAATTTCTCCTGAGAGACTCCAGCCATCATGTCTAAGCTGTCAACGTTCTGTGTGTAATGCCGCAGCAACATTCCCTTGGTCTCCAGGAGTTTAATAAAATAATGAGACAAAGTCGGTTTGTACTGCTCAGGGAGAAGGTCTTTAAACAGGTCTATAAATCTATGAGGAACCAGTTCGTAGTTTTCTTTATGAAACAAATCTTCTGGTCTGTACACATTTCTGTTGAAAAGTCTGTGATAAAGATGAGACTGTGGAGATCGGTAGTTGGGTATCCCGGCACTGGCGGAGAAAGCAGTCCCGACCACCGTCACTATCTTTTTAAAACGTCCCTCCTTGATCATAGCAATGATGTCATCAAAGCTTAAATGGGTTTCTTCTCCAACACTGGTGAAAGCACACAACCAGTCAAGGAAGTAAACCCTTGTTCTTGAGATATTTAACTACGTAACTTAAATGTGCTTGTGATTATGTTATTTATAGTATTTATTTAGTCAATATTATTTATTTACAAAAACAAAAAAAAATGCAATCAAGTGAGTCAAGTGTCTCTTGAGAATAGCTAACTGAATGGAAACAGAAAACTATTTTGCTCTGGGGTTGTTGATATTTTATAGCCTATCTTATTAACCATACACAAGTACCGGTATTCAAAAAACATCAAACAAAAATAGGTAGCCTACTTTTATCAGAATCTTAGATACACAATAAAAAGTCGCATAAATGCTATCTTTTCTCACAATTCTACTCTCTGGACTTGAAACAGTGTTATTTGATCTTTTATGTATCAATTATAAGCCCTTGGACTATTAAATTTTCTCAGACAAGCTAGAAGAACTCTACCCAAAAAAACTCTTCAATCTAAGTGGTAACAAGTCAGTCCAACATTCGAAAGGGGCTGCCTTTTTGCATCATCATTAAATCATTATATCATTATCAGATTTTTTGAGATTCATTCCACTTTCCCACAAATCAATCAGTTAGCACTACCATAAAAAATATTCAATAGTTCAAAAATGTTTTTAATTTACTACATCAATAGTTCAAATCAGGGCCGTCCCTAGGGTTGGTGGCGCCCGGAGCAAACGTTTTCTTGGCGCCCCCTCCCCCCCCCCAGTAATAGTCACATTCACATATTATTTTAATACTATGTTAATAGAAATAGCCGCTGTCCGGTGCCCCCTAAGCCACGGCGCCCAGGGCAGCTTGCCCTGTTGCCCCCCCCCCCTTCGGACGGCCCTGGTTCAAATAGCTTGTGGTAACAACATTTTACTCACATTGGTTCTTTCCTTTCTTCACTCCAGCTGACACTGACAGATTCTGGAATAATATGCAAATGTGTTGTTACTGTCAATTTAGTTTTACACTTAAATCAAAATAATTCACCATTGAATGATTTTGAAACAATTAACATTTCCCGATTTTTGTAAGTTTGGATTTCAAGCCAGTAGATCGACTGTATATAGAGAGAGTGCTTATCTTTTCCAGATGAACTTTGGAAGTTGCATATGTAGTACTGTACCTTTTTTTCATTAAGCTGTTAAAAGTGTACATTTTTTAGGTGTATTCAACTAACATTCAAAACGTACTTAATTTATAAGCTTAGTTTCTTTGGATAATAAGGTTGATAGTACCTTGAGCTGCCTTCACTGATGTGTCAGAATTGGTCTTAGCTTGTACCACTCTGGCGCTTTGTCTGCGATATTGTTCATTATCTTTCCATTCCTTCATATACTGCTTGTAGGATACTCTTGAAACTCCCTCTTGTTCATTATCTCGCTCTGTTACCCCTGATTCATCATTAACTGGAAAAGTGAAATCAGTGCAACAACAAACACATTTAACACATAAATTAGGCCCACTTGTTCAATTTATCAAATACTTTGTGTACCTACATTTTAATATGAATATCATATTAATATGAGGTAGGGATGTGCATGGTGGTGTAATGGAGTGAGGTGACCTGTGTATAGCTTTGTAAGTAACCAATTTGGCTATGATCAGCTGTTGTTCATCCAGGGCCATTTATTAAAAGCCCAATGATCAAGGACAGCTGGGTCCATTTTGGAATTTTATTAAAAATCTCATGACTTTTTCTCTAAATCGAATCAGTGATGGTGATAGTCTGATTGATTGTTAAGCGAAGATAGAATCACCCAGCACCCAGCCATTGGCTCTACAGGTTGTGTTATGCTTCATATGAAAACTGTATCTTTGAACTACATTTAAAAACAAGTTCCATAAGCATAATGACACTTGTAACACTGTCAAATTTGAACACACAAAAGGAAGAAGAATTTTTTTTGTAATATCCTGGTTGCCGTCATTGAACTCGTAACAAACAGTCCTAGTAATATTCTAACCTTTTGTTTGAAATTATTTTACTTTGTTAACATGTTTTCAATTTGTGATATATGCTACCTAACTTAAAATTAGATTAGTAATAACTAAAACAGTAAAAATTAAATATTGTTATGTAACATAGGGTAGAGGAAAATTAACTCCAAGTTACCTACCTTTTGAAACTGTTGGACCCTCAGATGATGATTTGAAAGGTTCAGCAAAGGAAAATTCACTTCTTTGGGTAGCTGGCTTAAATGGCTCATCAATTTTTACATTTTCTGAAAATATTGTTTAATTACAATAGTTAACAAAAAATATTTTATTTTTATTTGTACACCAGTTATACTTTTAGTCAAGGGTACCACGGAAAATATTTTCATGGGGGCAAACCGATATCTTGTTCCAAGATCCGAAAAAACCCTCACGTGCAGAAAATGTTTAACTTGTATGAAATGCTTCAAAATGCATTTTTAGACCGTCTAAGAGCCAGGATTTTACAATACTTGTTTGTTTCTACAATCTTTGTGAACAATTTTAATTAATCAAGACGAATAATATGGATAAAGAGATGAAACCTTTTATTAATTTAATAATGAATAGCAAAAATATCTGTCCTCGGTTTGTGTATTGTTATGAACATTATATCACAAAAATATTCCTACACAAATTGATTCAATTTTTAAAGATTTTAATTCGCTTGATTAATTTCTCCCATTCTTTTCTTTATTAATTTTCACAATCAACTCATAAACATGAGCATATCTAGAAAACATTTTTAAGGAGGTTTTTTTCTTCTTTTTGATTAATTTTCAGTTCACACAATTGGTGTCTTTTTGTCTCCATCCCCTCACACCTTTGCACATATGTTAGTCCATTACCTCCTATCTCATTTTGATAGTAGTTGTTTCCAAAGGCATCGCTTGGTTTAGAAACTTCTTGTTTCTGGAAGTCCAAGGGGTTGATCACTGGATCCACAACCGATTGTGAGGCACCGGCACTTTCTGGCATGCAGTAGTAGGTCACCGGAAGATTCTTATGACCTTAAAAAATATAAAATGATTTGAAACAAATCAGTAATCCAATAGGCATTTATCCTAGTGAAGTTATTTTACTAGAAAGTTAGTGAGTTGAATAATTTTGCAATTTTGTAGAATCAACATTAAACAGTTCAAACCCTCCGCTTTCTTTTAAATAAATAATCACTGCAATTAAATGTATTCATAAGGCTGATTATGCATGAACAATACTTTTTGGTACCGGTAGCTCTTATTATGTTTTTATCCTGTAAGAAAATGTTTCTTTTTTGGTGGTTGGTAGGTCCTACTTCTATTTTTGTTATTGATCAAATTAAAAATAAGTTTTTGATTACCGATAATGTTTAAATAGGATATAAGAATGCCATTTTTTTAAGTATTGAAATCATGGTTGTAGGCATATTTTGCTTCTTTTTTACAAATAATTGACGAATAAACCTGAACAAACAATATTTTTATTTTAACTAAGGTTATAATGATTAGTTTATCAAATTTTAAGATTCTTTTATAAAATTAGCATACCTGATATTGGAATATTCCCCATGATGATGAACCAGGGGCAAACACTTCAGAACAAATGGACGACCAATTGTTATCAAAATGCTAACTTATATCTATAATTACAATTTAATTGATCATCATCACAAGAGTTCAAAAATTATTGGAAATTCCAAAGATAAAATTTTTATTTAACATGGTCTCTTTTTTTGTAAATTACAAGTTGTTTAAAGTTACTTAACACAAAATATTCATAAATCTGTGTTATCTTAATAAGATATCAAATTGAGTAAATCATGTGTAGAACTTAATCTTTAATAATGTATTAATATTTGTTGAAATATGTTTCCGTAAGGTTTCACAAAGTAAAATTTTGGCAACAAAGTATAAATGTGAATGAAGTCAACTTAACAACAATTAAGCCATTTCAAAAATGGACTTAAATAAGGCAATTAGAAAGTAATCATACTAAAAATATTTTAAATCGATACAAGTTTGTTTATGATATTGAATTTTTTATTTTTGGATGATTAAAATCATTACTAAAACAAAAGTTTAATCAAATCTCCTGACAATTTAACAAAATGTCTTGGTAAGTAGATCCATTTGTTACCACTCAACCAATAATCGAAGATTTTCCTTTTACATATCACAGGAACACCATTAGATTACATTTTTCCGATACGGCTGCCATATTTGGGTGCATCAGGATATGAGTAAAGTTCCTCGCTGAACTTTACTTTGGTTCTTTAACTCAAGGTTGGTTTTTTAATCAAGGACATTGGCAATTTGGGTAGAATCCAGTGACACATTGCATAACACATGTATACAAGCATAAATTAAAGAGAGTAAAGACAGATTAAAAAAGAGTAAACCACTCCCTTTAATCTTTGATACTATCATTGTACTACCTACATGAACGTGACAGTATGAGCACCAACTGATAGCTGATCTTTACATATATGTGACAAGTATATGTCCATTTAATATACCCTACCCCCTACCCCTGCCGCAGCAAACCTGCAGACTAATATTCCCAAGGAGCACTTACACTAATTGACAATAATATTGAGAGGAAAGGTAATACCATTGACTAAACACAGATGCGAACTGGGAGCGTTTCATAATCTCCAAATTTCACAAACTGCCTCACCCATGCGAACTTCTGTGTATAGTCAATGGTACTGATTTATTATGACCTGTACTGAAAAATTCTTCAGATTCTTTAAATTCTTTGAAATCACAAACCAGTATTGTCAATAAATATATATTTTTTGTCTTAGGACACTAAGCACAAGCCTGGAATTGTTTTTCTCATTAGTTCAGGCTAGACCTAGGGGTTGCAGCATGGCCCCACGCTATCGCATGCGCCCCGCGTTTTTTGTTTTAAATCTTACAAGTATTTATTCTCTCTGCATATTTATAAATTATTTTCTACTTTTTTGCAAATTTCTCATACGGGATTACCATCAATAACCATACGAGTCCAGTAAACACATTTTGGACGAGTGACGCACGATATTTTACGCCATACTACTAAATCTGTACAAATCCTTATATATTACCACCGACTAAAGTACTAACAATCACTAGTCGTAACCTTTATGTTTTTGTTTATAACCACTCATTCCCATAACATGCAGTAACTAGCTGTTTTGGTGTCCGGTATATTACCATGGATAAAACATACTCCCTTACGTTACTAGTCCGTTACTAGTGTTTACCGGACGAGTGTGGTCGTTCCCGTGCGAGAAATTCAATACAGTATTTGACTATATTTACTGTTCATTCTTACAATATGTAAACGTTGAAACTTTGGAAGCCAATAGGGCATAGCCCAAGGATAATATGAAAATAAAATGATTTTATATTGCATTGTCATCCATTTGTGAGCTATGTTTCACGTTTTAAGTCTCTAGCTCATCGGAAGTTAGTTTAAAATCAATTGCAAAATTTGTACCGAACAAGAAAGTGATATAGCAAATAAAAACGTGTTAAAGAGTATTCGTCCCGGGCCTAGGTCACCCATTCAACATGCCACCTCCTTCCACCATGATGCCACCTCCTTCCACCATCATGCCACCTCCTTCCACCATGATGCCACCTCCTTCCACCATGATGCCACCTCCTTCCACCATCATGCCACCTCCTTCCACCATGATGCCACCTCCTTCCACCATCATGCCACCTCCTTCCACCATGATGCCACCTCCTTCCACCATCATGCCACCTCCTTCCACCATCATGCCACCTCCTTCCACCATGATGCCACCTCCTTCCACCATGATGCCACCTCCTTCCACCATGATGCCACCTCCTTCCACCATCATGCCACCTCCTTCCACCATGATGCCACCTCCTTCCACCATCATGCCACCTCCTTCCACCATGATGCCACCTCCTTCCACCATCATGCCACCTCCTTCCACCATCATGCCACCTCCTTCCACCATGATGCCACCTCCTTCCACCATGATGCCACCTCCTTCCACCATGATGCCACCTCCCTCCACCATGATGCCACCTAACCCACATACGGTTCTTCCTTTATACAGGGTGTCCCGGAACTATCTACCAATATTTTAGGGCATTGCTCCTGGGTAAGAAACATACCTAAATATCATATTTAAATTGTCAGGAAGTCCTTGGTTACTCACACAGCCGCCATTTTGTTTTTTTCAGTTATTATTTTTTTTCTAAAGAATGGTTAAACATACGAAATGGAAACTTTGCACAAACATTTATGACAACTAGACAAAGCTACCAAAAAATTATCACGATTTTTCAAATTCATAAAACAAAATGGCGTCTACTTAATATTTCTGTAAAATCAATGGTTTTTGAGTTATTTAAGAAACAAAATTTCAAATGGTCGCCATTTTGTTTTATGAATTTGAAAAATTGTGATAATTTTTTGGTAGCTTTGTCTAGTTGTCATAAATGTTTTATGCAAAGTTTCCATTTCGTATGTTTAACCATTCTTTAGAAATAAATTAATAACTGAAAAAACAAAATGGTGGCTGTGTGAGTAACTAAGGACTTCCGGGCAGTTTAAATATGATATTTAGTTATGTTTCTTACCCAGGAGCAATGCCCTAAAATATTGGTAGAGAGTTCCGGGACACCCTGTATATAGGCCTAGATAGATAGATAGATAGGAAAATTTGCTAAAAAGAAGCATGGAAAGAAAAAGGAATAGCCTTAATTCCTTCATCCCTCGATTTAGAATTTTGATTAATATTGTACAGAATTCAAAATTTTATCATTTAATTTTGTATTTTTGTGTCTACACCTGCTTTGGCCTTTTTTACTTGCTTTTTTACAACTTTTTTTAAGGAAACGGTCCAAAGCAAGATTCTTATCTCACATCTTATACTGCAAAGAGTGAAAGAGTGCAATGTTATCAATACTCTTTGGAATGGCTATCAGCTGTTTGTGCATTAATCAGCTGTGTCAAATGTCAACGTCGCGTCGTCCGTCAACGGTATCAAAATAAAACAGAACCAACAGAAGCAGAACTAGAACACCATATCACGTCATACTCAACAGCAACAATAACAACGTAAAGATACTCCTAATTTCATTCCATTAGTGAACCCATTTCATAAACAAATTTTCAGTTTGTCTTTTTTTTGTGGATTTTGCATTGGAGGAATGTTCTCATTCCTTAGTACCTACTCAATAACAGTTATAATTTAAATTGGAAATCAAGTTGAAAAATCTCTGTCGTCACCTGCTCTTTGAGGTTAGTCTAGCAAATGATCGGTAGATTTATTATTTTATGCGATCATAATATTGTAAAGCAGATGTATAGATTTCCTAGGTTGAAATTTTAAGAAAATATTGAAGCTTTTTCTTTGAACTGCACAAATTCTCATGATGTCTTCATAGGCCTTAGTTAAAGCAGTATCTAGGCCTACATCTAAGTAAACACGTCACTTTTCAAAAACCAGATTAAGTAAAAATGAAAATTCTACTTGTTGGAGGTGGAATTACAAGTGCTTTAACTGGAATGTGTCTTAGAAAATTATTGCCGGATTGTAATATCAGCCTGTGGGACAAGGCAAGAGGTGCGGGAGGCAGGATGGCCACAACTCGATGCTCTTTAAACCCGAGCTGTACAGCTGATTTAGGCGCCCAGTACATCACAACAACAGAAGAGTACATGAAAGCAAATGGAGATGTATACAACCATTTAATATCTGAGGGAATATTGGAACCACTTAAATGCCACGTTATTGGAATGAGGCATCAAGACAACACAAAAAACTTTGTTGTTCCTAATGGCACAAGTTTTCTTGTAAAGAACATACTACAACAAGCTAAGATAAATGAAACAAAATTTTCTCACCATGTCTCATCAATAGATCTTGAAGATGGAAGGTGGATAGTTGAAACAAAAACAGGTGAAAAGGATTACTTTGATGTCGTTGTCTTAACTATGCCAGTACCACAACTGTTTCTACTCGAAGGGTCAGTTAAAAGAAGCATTCAAAGTCTTGCAGAACCCTTGAACACAGTTACCTATAGCGCTAGATATGTGTTGGTTCTATTTTACCTGGAAAATATCAATGAAAACTGGGGCGCACAATACATCGATAACAATCCCATATTTAGATACGTTTCCATAGACAACATAAGGAGAAATCAGCCAGAAAATCTCTGTGCTGTAGTTTTACATTCTACGGTCAGCTTTGGAGCAAAACACATTGAAGACTCAATTCCAGATATGGAAAAAGTGTTGGTTTCTCAGGCAAAAGTTCTATTTCCCAACTGGCCTGAGCCTAAAGCAGTCAAGTGTCACAAGTGGAGATACTCGCAAGTGACAAATACTTATCCAGACGCTCCTGGTTGTGTGTTGGTATCTTCTTCCGCCCCATTGGTCATAGGAGGAGATGCATTTGCAGGTTCAAAATTTGACAATTGTATCCAATCTTCAAAATCGATATGTCAGAAAGTTGTGGAAGCTCTGGAAGTTGGTAAACTGTGAGTAATTTGTTTGATTTTGTAAATCTTAAGGGAAAATAATGAAGGCTATGACAATTTGTTAATACAGTAGAGTCCCGCAAACTCGGCACTCGATAACCCGGCATTCTGGATAACTCGGCCATCACCTGGCTCAGAAAATTAGTGATTTCTTGAGTCCAAGTTAATCATGGACTCAAGCCACCTTAATTCAAATTATTCGCAACTGGTACTAAGGATTTGTTGTACTATATCTGATGACTTAATTCTGACTTCTAATATAAATATAAAAAAAAAGGCGGTTATAAAATAAAGCTTAAAAACTGAATTGTTCTTATTTTTAACCCTAGTTCCCGATAACCCGTCACCCTTCCAGTCCACATTACGCCGAGTTTGCGGGACTCTACTGTACCACCCTGCAATATTTATAGTCATACGGTAGTAATAAGTTTGTTTTCATTCCATTTCATAGGGCTTGTGCACTTTTTTTTAAACACTCAATTATTTCCAACTACCTTTACAATATAGCCTTCTAGCTTTTACCCGCCGCTTCGCCTGCAATGGTATTACCATAAATATTATACAGCATAGGAAATAAACAGAGTAGGCCCTATTACAATCATACCAATGCTTATCTGTAGTGGCTTCGCCAAAGATCACAAAAAAAGATATTATCATTACCGTATTCATTGTGTCACGCACCGTTTAAAAATTTGTTAAACAAATAGGCCTAAACATTTTGAATCTCCTCTCTACACAATAAACCATTTGTTTAATCTCCGACTAAAAAATCTTATACAACATCTTGAAACTGAAAATGCCGTGACTCTTCAGCTTCTCCAAGTATGGTTCTTTCATAGCTGTATCGGCTCTTATAATAATGGTAAAACTTTTCCACCAGAATAACACCTTCCAGCAGGCTCATCTTTCCATTTTAATGCTCTGCAGTATATACACTCTCTCTGTCCATTCAATATATTTGTAATAATTTGTACCGGTAATGTCTATAGGCTAGTCTATTGTTGCGTGGTATTCCATTTATCATTTTCAAACACACACCAAGTATCAAAGTACTGTATCACTGTTGAACGCTTGTCAAAAAAGCACAAAAATTAATAGTGCTGCACCCTGTTGGTAAACCTTGGAAATATGAACTATCATAATACCAAATTATTTAGCCCAATCCAACCAGTAGATAATGCGTGATTGAACTTCAAATAAACAATAAACTAACACACAAACTTTCACATTTATAATATTAGTATAAAGTATGATTAGTAGGCCTATCCTTGTATATAATACGTGAAGGCGATTTCTACGAAACACTACTCCTCCGTTAATAATGGACGGATTTTTACAAACGATGTGTCAAAATTAAGTATTTATTGTGTAGGTACCCCCTTTCACCAATTCCTGTAATAAACGTCCTCGGGCTTTGCGCCACGGGCCATCAAAATACAAATGTGTTTTTTATGAAGAAAAGATTTTGTTTACTTAAACAGACGAATAATTTGTAGGCTATTAATTACAGCTGTTCATAGTAAACACATGATACACAAAGAGCGTTCGTTTTCAGTTTCGATAACTGGAGTGGAGTGATTGATTACATTATCTTTGAGTTTACCCTTTTAAGTTATCGGAAATAATTATGACTGTTATTCGTTTTGAAATAACACCTGTATTGCTGGAATTCGAGCAACAGGTGCACTAGTTAAATATTATCAGTTGTTGTTGTAATTAGTGATCCTCAACTTATTTAACTTATTTCTTTTATTTTAATAATTTAAAAACCCTATTAGAATGTATAAAACTTGACTTAAAATTTTGCAAAAAAAATCCTAATGATTTCACCTATACTTCCCTATAAAGTGAATTTACTGTTACCGGTATATTTGTTAAACTTTCATATCCCTAATATAAGTTACTGTAATGTTTTATATTTTGGAAGCAGACCCAAATCTCCTAAAATTGGAAACTTGATAGGCCTATCTTTACAAAAATAGATATTTATTTTTCTTAATTGCCAGTGGATAAACAATGTTTTTTTTTGTTTTTTCATTAGGTGTATAAAAATATAAGTTTTTAGGAGTACCTTTCACCACGTGAGCCCACAACATACAGCTGTCTGTGTGAAAAGTATGCATTTTGTAAATTTAAACCGGTGATAGTCAGGGATTGACCTTGTGCCTTATAATGGTGATTGCGAAAGCAAGACGCAAAGGAAATTGTAGTCACTTGAATTCAAAGGGTAATTCGAATGAAATCATTGGTATTTTTGACATTAAGACTAATTCTCCTTTAAACTTACCACTGATGATTGTTGCTTTGATCAAGTTTGGTGTCATTTTTTTAACCGTCAGTCTAGTTCCGTTGCACGGCTTGGGTGGATTTAAGTTTCGCATTAGTATTATTGGAATTCCTTCTTTTAACGACAGTAATCTGGTGGGTTAATGACAAATTGGGAGGCATTTGAATACCTGAAATATCACGCACGATTATTATTCACTTAATAATTTATCTTAGATTGAGTGGATACAGAAAAAAAGAAAAAATATTAAGGCATTGCCATCCCTTTTATTGTTTATATAATACTTTGATAAAGGTTTTTACTTTATATGATTACATATTTAATAGTGGAGAATTTAAACGTTGTTGAATGCACTGGTGTGCTGCGATTGGGGTTTAATATATTTCGAGTATTTGGACTTAAACTAAAGTTAAATAGTTTTCTGTGCTATATAATGTTAATTGTTGTATAGAGAATGAAATACATGCATGATACATATTTTATTACGAAATACATGCATGATACATCTTATTGTTAGTGTAATTTTCTTATTTTAGTTTTCAAGACATCACAGACCGAAGTGTTAAGCCCACTTTAGACATGCGCCATTCGCCAAGCACCAAACAGCGACTCGCTGAATCGCGAGTAGTGAATAGGTGTTTGTCTATTTGGCAAGCAGCAAACATTCATGCTTGTGTTTTCCTGTTCATTGCACACATCAAAGTGAACGAATATTTATGCTATTCCCAATATGAACAGTTGCTCGGAAAACAACACATAAGTGAAGACGTCTACTTGTTAATTGGCGAATTAGTAAGACAACTAGATCACCGAATGTAAAATATTTCGTGCTTCGAGAATGGGGCATGTCTGGAGCCAGCTTAAGTGAATTTCAATGAGTCACTTATGGAGTACTTACTTCAATGAGTTTATGGACATATAAAAATGCCTACTCCATGTAAGCCAGATATATTTTCATCCTACTAATCATAAATTAGATACAAAAACGTTTTTGTACGTTCAATAATAACGCTTACAATTGTTGTTGCTGTATTTGTAATGCTAATTCATGTACTTATTTGTCTCAAACAAACCGTTGTATGTTTTTTATACTCAATGTTTCATGTATTTTTATATCACTTTTGTACAAAACACTATATTTTGGCAATAAAATGCTTTTACAGTACTTTTATTTTGTTCAGTTCCTAGTTCCTTTTTGTGTAAAATCAAAAGAAAGATAAGCCTTATCATGTTTAGAAAACAAAAATAATAATAAAAAATTACTCTGTGGGGACAATATTCTTGACATGATGATACTACATATAGAAATTATACAAGTGTATAATGATAGAGAGAATTAGAGTGTATAAGATTGTTGAGTTGCTTAAAGTCAACAAAAACTTTCACAAATGTCAGCAGTTCTTTCTAAAATAAAACGGAGACGGGAGCTTCTTAATTGTCAATATCCATGAACAGCCGGCTCTTTGTGAAATACTGTATTTATTCTTGTTTTTTGGCGAGAGTTGTAAAACTTTTGTAATTTTTTTACAGCTCTAAAAAAAATAAATGACTTGTGCAAAATCCATGCTGCTAAGTTTATTCAGGGACAAAGAGAAAACTCTTGTTTGCCAAATCAGCAATATATAGAAATTATACAAGTGTATAATGATAGAGAGAATTAGAGTGTATAAGATTGTTGAGTTGCTTAAAGTCAACAAAAACTTTCACAAATGTCAGCAGTTCTTTCTAAAATAAAACGGAGACGGGAGCTTCTTAATTGTCAATATCCATGAACAGCCGGCTCTTTGTGAAATACTGTATTTATTCTTGTTTTTTGGCGAGAGTTGTAAAACTTTTGTAATTTTTTTACAGCTCTAAAAAAAATAAATGACTTGTGCAAAATCCATGCTGCTAAGTTTATTCAGGGACAAAGAGAAAACTCTTGTTTGCCAAATCAGCAATGGTTAAATGCAAACCATGCTTGGTTCAAATTTGCCTTGGTAAAAGGTTGACGGGTAGAAATTTGGTATGCTCATTCTGATTAAATATTTTTTTCAAGTTCTATATTCAAACTTCTTTTGATAGGTAGTGTGGACATTTTTATTACCACCACATATTTCATTACTTTTTAAAAACTTTATTTGTTAGCAAAACATACAATCTGTTGTTGAAATGAAATAAATTTGTTTATATTCTTATTATGGTTCTTTTATAAGATTTGACCTAATTGTATAGCTTGAAACTTGAAATACAAGCAATGATGGAAGGTTTTATGAACTACTTTGAAGAGCCATATCTCTCAAACTGTTTGGTCTATAATCAACATTTTGGTCTTAAATTATTAAATTATTTAATGTACTTTTAAAATGATAATAGTTGTTTTCTATGAAAAAGTTATGCTTCAGGGTCAAAATTGGACAAATGTAAAAAAGGTGCGAAATTCCACGGATTTCTAAGCTTTTTGGGGGTAATCCGGAAGGCTGCCGAGGTCGAAAATTTTGATTTAGCATCTTGGTACTATCCCATACAACACACAAAAAAAAACCTACTACCCCTTTTCATGCTAGGTAAAATGCATTACAAAAGGTTACTGGATTATCTCCACTAAAAATAAAAATTTACAAAAATCCAAAAATAATTGCCTGGAGATTCCATGAGTTCTTTGGGTTGGTATCGTCATACCAACTATCATCAAAATTGGTGTATTCTGTAGCTATATGTACACATATACATATGCACACATATTTCACTTCAAAAACCACTTTTATGGGCTCCCCTGAACTCAAAACAAATATTTTCACCCTAAACTAAAAATAATCTTTTTTAATACTTTTCCACATACAAATTTTTCTTGTGGGAGAAAGTAAAAATCTGGAGCTTTTATTGTATATTTTACATTTCTTTGTTATCACACATTAGCTATTTTCTTCATCAATCCTAGTTCGCCTACTTACTTTGAATCTATACATAAACTTAATTTCTTATTAAAAAACACACAAATGTAAAATTAACTCTTCTATGTATCAATTTTAAGGGGATATTATCTCACCAAGAACTAAATGACTTGATTTGTTAACTCTAATTACAACTTGATTTGATTTTTACCAATTAAGTTTGCAAAACGTAATAGGATTGCTTCATTTCAGCTAGTTATCATTTATTCATCAATTGACCCTTTTCTTATGCTGAAACAGTTCAAAGTTTTTATTATACATGTTTAATTTCATTCTTCTCCTGGTTATAGAGTTTGGCAGTGACAATTTTCAAAATGATAGTGTCCAATTTTCACATTTTCTTTAATGGAAAGCTTCCAACAAACCTACATATTGCACCATATAAGTTTAACTATTGATGGACCTACTGTTTTAAAACCACATATATTTTGAACAAAAATTATGATGGCTATATTAGAATATTGGCAATGTTGATTATATTAATAATATGAGTTGGGAGTACAATGAAGAAATGGCAACTGATATTTTAATTAATTACAATATTGTGGGTCTCATGAGGCTAAAAAACGTTCTGTGGCTTATTCATGATGACTTTGTGGGTAGTTTTAACTACGGTAGTTAAATCCCTATTCAAAAATACCCTATAAAAGTATCAAAATAACATTAAAATATAAACAGATTTATGAATGGGATTTTAATTAAGGGTTTGTTGTACAAAAGTAATAGTTTAATAACCATGTAATAATAACATAATACAGCTGTATATATTTACAATTTTCTAGAAACTAAAATACTATACATTTAAACATGGACACTTAAACAAATTCTTGAGCTTAAAAGTTAACCTAATGACGCTTTAAGCACAGATGTAAATGATTAATTTAAAGATAAATATTTAACTTGTAATTGAACTAATTGAATTTGTTATAACTGTTAGAATTTCCACTAAAATATTCCCTTAACATTGTCAGATTTATTTCCTACTAGCAGAGTACCCGTCCTTCGTATGGGGTTGGCGTATATAAATAAAATGCTTATTGCAGTTATACTTGTGTTTACAATGGGAGAGGACACGGTTTAAGAAAATTTGGTTCTTTTAATTTACGGTATGATATAGTATAGCACATCTACCATAGCACCTAAAAAAAAACTTAAATTTTAATTTAATAGTGTTGCACCCTGTTGGTAAACCTTATAACTTTTTAATGTTATTTAATATCATAGAACCAACTTGTGTAGTTGAAACAGCTGACAAAATTATTTTATTCCTTTTAAATATGAATAAAAAGTTAACATGAGAAACTCCAGAGCCACTGGGGCGGAGCCCAAAAGGATTTTTGAGATAAGAATGCATCTATATGTTAATCACTGGGAATGTGAGCTATCATATCACACCAAATTTCAGCCCAATCAGACCAGTATTTTGCACGTTTACTTGTCACAACCATCCATCCATACATCCAATCTTTCTCACAACTTATAATATTAGTAGGATTTAAATAACATTATTTTAACGAGTACTTAGGTTTGCTACTACAGGAAAGGTAATGAGGTGTACATTAATGAAATGTTGATAGCTTAGTATGAAATATACAAAATTCCATTAAAATATATCCACAAACAAGCAAACTACAACAGGTTTAATACTGCCGTTATTCATCTTGTAGAGGCACGTGCCAAACAATGACAGAGGATGGAAGAGGGATGGGTGGGGGTTTCATTTTGAAACAAGTTTCGTTCTGTTTTGAAAACTACGTAGGTACTATGGAGAAAAAAAATCAGATTTACCGAGGTTCTTTCTAACAAGGTTTGACTGTACAATTTTTTCTTTTTCAAGCACTATAAAATGGTTTAGAAAGAAATTGGGAAATGAAATGTTATGTTTTTAGGGTCAAAAATGGGAAAAACAAATTTTTACCCTATAAAACCCCCGTTCCCATAGTCAGATCAAGCTGGTTCGCGAACTTGTTGGAATACATTTAGTTTTACACGCCTGTGTGCCAAATTCCGTAAAAATTTAATTTTTGCTCAAGTTATCGCGATAACAGACATACATATGATTTTGAACCGAGGGATTTTTGGCCTCTGCGCACCTCAAAATGAAAAAGTTAATTTTTCCCGGGTCCAGTTCTTACCGTGAGACCTACGGTAATAAAAAGCTTATTCCCTATATTGGAAATTCGTTAATGCTATATGTTATTTATCTTTATTAGTTAGTTACACCAAAACTAATTCAGTATCGATTCACTGTCAAAACAAACAGGTGTTACTGATGATGTATTAACTACTTGGCCTGCTTTGATCGTTTGAATTTTTATATTTTAATTAATTAGTCCAAATATCAGTAGAGGGGTATTTATTATAATATAATATTTAAAAAGCAAATCCTGGTCAGCCCCCATATAAGAAAATGTGCAATTTAGCATAATATGCATGATTATAACCATATTTTTGATCAGAACTATTTTCTTCTCTAATATCTGCAGACAAAGTTTGTAAAGGGGGAATGAACAGCTTTTTACGACTTATTTATCCCTGAAACTCGTATTTTAAAAACAGTTACAGTTCCTGTCATATGGCAAAAAAATTTTGTTTCAAGCTTTGTAATATGTTGACTTGGAAATGTTCAATAAAAAGAGGCTTGATTGACCTGCCCTCCATAAAATATTGTCGTTTGTTTACTCCCAATGACATGCTATTTTTTTCATCAATCAATAATTTACAAATCAGTCATAAATTGATGGTGTAGTTCAATTACAAGGTATTGTTATAATAACATGTATTTGTATAGCTATAATTTTAACAATTTCAACTAAACTCATAAATATTTGTAACAATACTATTAAACTATAATTGATACAAACTAAGTTTTAAAGTCTTATTACAACATAACTGATATGTACATAACAACTTAACATTATTTTTATAAGTACCTAATTATATTATGGTGTGTAATATCATAAGTTATGGCATTTTATGAATAATTACTACACAAAAACACAAACAGTTATTTGATGAGCTATTTACAGTAGACCCTAACTGACCCTAATAGCTCCGAACCTAGGTCGGATAACTCAGAGGTTGGTTAAAACGGTTAAATCCCTTAAAACCTAACAAAATGAAGTGTTATTCTTTTGGAATTATATAATCATGATTATTTTGTATAATCATTGTTAGAAAAAATAGGCTCCCTTTTCCTTTTCCTGATTTAGAGTAACCCTAATCCTACGCTCAAACAAGTGTTTTTCGCTCGGTCAGACGTAATTAAGGAGAATAATAATAAGGACAATAAGGAAAATCATTATTTTGATGTTATCTTTATTATGTCTCGTTCTTGTGACTCTTTTTCCCTCAAGTTTTTTTTCACTACTTCAAATGTACCAAACTGGTTGGTTAACTAACAGAAATCTTGAACTTTCCTGAAAAAAATAAATAATTCTCTTTCCTTTAAAAAATTCCTGAAAAACATAAGTTTTTGGGATGGATACAAACTTTGGCCTATTCTTAGTTACATCCTGTGGAGATAACTGTATGGTTCCCATCGCCGAGCGCGAGAGCGGAAATGTCGAGATTCCTAAAAGCGGCGGTTAAAGGGAACTGTTCTCAAAGCAAGGTCGGTTAAAAGAAACTAATATTTTACGATCGAGGACGGATAATCCGATTATTCGTTAATGCCATGTTGGTTAAGAAGGGGTCTACTGTATTTACTCAAAGTCGAAAATAAATCATGTCACAAATCACTTTATTAGAAATTCATATTTAACGTTTTTTGGTAATTGTTTTTACTGAATCTATAAATTGTTGTATAATTTATTTTATTTCCGCTAGTCAGTTTTACTAAGGATTAGAGTTTGTTATAAAATATATTTGTCTAAAAATATATTTATTTTTAATAGAATCATTTTTTACCATATAATATAGAAGACATTTTTTTAGAATTGCTGATATGTTTTAATATAGAAATATTGAAGCCAAAAGTACATGTTTTAGAAAAAAAAACCATTAATAACTACTCCATTCCAGCTACCTAGTACCCTTACATTGAGTCTTTATTTAAGATTGCTTAGACAAGGTCATGTTTACACTAAACATAGGCTATTTTATTTTAATGGCAACCATGATCACAATATACTGTAAATAAATCACCTATGTACTATTCAGTATTACCGACAAAGGTTTTCTTATTTAAATAATAAAACTAAAAAAGGAAACAAGTATGGCAACGTATTTACAGTAATAATTAATGTTAAAATTGTTTAAAATAAGACCACTTTGGTTATATGGATAAACACATTGTTTTTTTGGCTTTTTAAAATAAATGACAGCTTTCAATTATTTAAATATTCAAGAAGTATTCAAATAAACAAATATTCAAAATATTTAAAAACATACTTATAAATAAAATAAAACACAAGTCTTCCAAAAAATTGTTTAAACATTTATTTTTTATGAATAAAATTTAATCTATGAATCAAATTCAAATAGCACTTTATGAAAGGTAATATTTTAACAGATCTGAAATATATATCCTTGTCAAACTAAACAAACTTAAATCAAATTGTAGAAACTACATTTTAAAACTAAATAACTTTATTCAATAAAAAATCATTTGATCCATTTCACATACTACTCAACTACAATCAATAAAATGACACTATTCACGTAATAGTATTTACATTATCTACAAACAGCACACTTATATGGCAGTGCTATAAATAAAATCTTTGTACTTTTAACGGAATACTCTATGAATAAAACTATGATGACTTGATGGGCATATTATAGGAAACATCGTTACAGCTGCTGTCCACGCTCACTTCATGAGTCCATAGGTTAAAGCTAATGTTTTGATTTCCTTCGAGAGGTGCGGGTGAAAATCACATCCCAAGGATGTAGTCCACCGGTGTTTCTTTGGGAGTTTGGAAGGTAGGTTGCGGCTAGATGCTGATTGAACTCGGTTTGAGTTCTAGAAACTGGAAAGGAACGTGGAGACTGTGATTGCTGTGCTCGACCACCAGATGTCCTCGACGAGGTGACGCCCCCACCACTACCACTGTGTCACCCTTCAGTAATGATACTTCTCCCGTCCCGTCCTCTGTAACAGTCAGGTCATGTAGAGGAAAGAGTATACTTAATTGACTGATTCGTTGGAATGGGCAAGTTCAGTTGTTCTATCTAACAAAATTGTAAAAATGTACGTTATGAATTTTTAACAAACTAAATTCCCAAATTAAAGGTTTGTCTTACACATTTTACAATCGATCATTTGTTATAGCTATTGCACTCAAAGATCACAACCTCAGGTCCAAAAGCAACAGGGTCTGAGGATGTAAAGTTTTCTTATCATACCAAATTGGAGGCTACTATCCCTTCATGAAACCCATAAAGTTTTTTATTAAGCCTTTTTGAGTTGCTGCATTTTCATTGCTTGTACTGCGTCCAGTGTTACAACTTGAAAAAGGTAAAATACCTGTTTTAAAACTACTGAAAATGTGCAATATTAATGAGATATGTTAGTGTACAAATACTTCTTACAGTTATTGCAGTTTTTAATTATTATTTCAACATTAAAAGTTGAGGAAACTAAAATAGTCAGATTAAAAGGCGCCTTTATTACCAAAACAACCCATTACCACTATTACCAGACTACTCATAGTCACCCGGAAAGATTGTCACATAGCCAGATATTTGGTTGGATTATCTAAATAAGGAATCAGAACCTCTAGTATGTGTATACAAGTATTCAAGACTAAATAACAAAGCTAATAGTGTACCTTCCCTTCAAAGAAATTTTATTTTATTGTATATTTTAATTTTAATTGAAAGTAACTGACACTTAGCGATGCAATACCTGGGAAAGGCATTTTCATGACGCGGGTCTGAGGGTAGCCCAGTTTTGTGTTCCCCGCTACTGTGTATGGTCTGCTGGGCGGTACTGGCGGAGGCCTCTCCTGCAACATTACAAACACCAGTCTAACAATATGGTAAACATAATCAAACCTGGAAATGTTGACTGCCTTCAAGAAAATAGAAATGAAATGAAATGTTAATTTTTGACACACACAATTCAATTGTTGATTCAGTAGATAGCTGGTTTGTGTATATTCCTCTTTGGACAGTTGTATTGTTCTGTTTGATGTGTATTCTCAGACAAATTTTGTTCACTGTTTTTCTCTCAGGGGCAAGTTTATTATTTTTATAGTCAGATTGTTTCCTTCTAGGATTTTTTTCTGAGGCATAGATCTAAACCGCTGCCATCATGTACTATTTTACTCAAACTCAACTATCTTTATTTTAACTTTTTTCAAACATAGAATAACAAATAAACATATGATAATAATTAACAGAAATTAACAGGTGTTATGAAATAAACTGTTCTCACAACGATTACCTGTTGTGGAATTGTAACTGTTTTGTTTTCACTATTTTAACCAGGGGAATAATAAGTCAATAAAAAATGTTTAACAAAGAAAAGTCTAGGTATTTGTAGTAAAAATTATATAGAGCTGTTTTTCACCGTAAATTTCCAAGTTTTCTTATAAATATAATTAACCAAAGTGTCATAAAATCGAAAGACATCTGGTTTACAACGTGATATTGAATTAAACCTTGATGTAGTTAAGAGGCAAAAGCATGTTTCTTTAAACCTTTTTTCTCTGCTTATGTGCATCACAGGAAAAATATATGCATACTGTTGGAAAGATATTTTCGTGTAGATGCGCAGAATCCCTTCATAAATTAAAATAGGCTCAAAAATAAGCACAAAAATGAATTTTTTTTTTTACAAGGACCTTATGGGATGCCATGCTGGTGACGAAATAACAACACAATAGGTATATACAAAAAATCTAAACAAATGGAAGAAATTCCAATCACATGAGTTTTTTACAGCGTAGGGTGAAAATAGAGAAGTCTGTACATTACTTAATTTTGGTCGAGTTTTCAACCACTGGACGACCTCTAGTATAAGATTATTAGGCTATATAGCCTTTTAAGGAAAAAAAACTTGTTTGTGAATAAAACCTCAATAACACCTTTTATGATCACTGTTGTTGTGGTTTAACTGTAATTACCATCAAAAGAGTCTGTGACTAACTAGTGCTGCTGTACGATAGTTTGGACCTAGTAACACATTGAACGAGAATTATCTGAGCATAGCCCTGGTGTAGCACCATCTGTTAGGAATTGTTGACGCCAGTCGTCAGCTTAAATATTTTTTACTCCTCAGTCTCCAAGCACAGATAGCCTGGGTGGCTAGGGTGTGTCACTTGGCCATAGTGGCATTCGTCTGCTCGGGATCGAATCCCGTCCTGTGTGGCAAATAGTATGTGACCTGTGTGTTTGTAGCGATAAACTACAACCACTGAGGCATAATGAGGTGTTCATAATCCTTGGTTTAGACAGACACCTCGAATCATCGGATTGAGCAAATCTTTGCTAAGTGGTTGTTTATAAACATGCATGTTTTGCTACTTTTTAAAAATTAGTAGTTTTTAGCTACTTCCTCTTTATCCCTTATAGATATCTTGGAGATTTCAGTGAACAACAATATATTGTTGCATAACACTCAAAGGGTTGAGCTGTGTTTACACAGAGCCATAGTGTTGGCTGGCAAACTTGAAATGTACTAGAGGTAGGTAACTGCCTCCCTACTAGCCTCTCGTCACGGTAGTATGTACAGTAGTATGTTTTCTGTGCTCTCGTATACACGGCTTAAGAGATACTAAAGATTGTGCAAACTTTCTTCCTCTAAGAACCTGGAGTTCAATTTTCATAGCGAAGACTATATAAATGTTCAAAAACTCCACAATTAGCCATTTGGTTTTCCCAATCCAACTTAAGGTACAAATACATTTTTAATACATTGTTAACAAATACTCACCAAATCTAGTCCGAACAGAGTGCATGTCTGCTGTATCATTTTCTGGTCGTACTTCTCATTCGGGTCTGGTGGGGGTGTGCCAGCAATGGGCTGGGGGCGGGGGCGGGTGAGTGTGGCGGAGGGCGGAGCAGCAGGTGCCCCTGTCGTCCTGCTCAGTACACCTGCACACAATAGTCATATCACAATCCAATTACATATTTTACAGGATTAGAAATTAGGTAACCTGTTTCCGAGCCTTGATGTTGGGACAATTAATGCACAAAAACACAATTGGATGAGTAAATAAGCAAAGTTGAAATCATATCTAGCATAATTTCGCTGATACAGTATAGTAAAGAAAATCATAGGTGGTGTACCCGATCCTTGACTTTAAAATCCTACAGCCTCTTTAAATAAATTAAATCTGGACTCTGCTAATTCAACAAATAAGTGTAGTAAACATTTCACAATTTTTTTTAGTTAACATTTTTCATTTTCGTCCCGGGTTCCAATCCCGCCAAATCACCAATAGATTTTATCTAAGTGATAATGCCGCAACTCCTAGGTCTAGCCTAAAGTGATGTGAAAATAATACTGGGCTTGTGCCTATGCGTCCTAGGACAAACAAATAAAAAAAGTGTTTAATCCGAAATGGGTCCAGTCCCAACCATTTCAGACTATCGGGACCCTACTGTACTATGGTATAGGGGAAGAAAGTAAAAATCAAACAATAGACCCAACACCAACCCAAGAACATCTACATAGTTGTACAGTAATATAACCAACAGCATAAATACAACCCAGTTCTCACAAACCAACTTTTTAAAATCTCCTTACTGGTACCCTGTTTTATCAACTGTTACTAATGAAGTAAATAAACATATAAAACAAGCTATCAATGGATACTGACCTACAGCGGTAGTAGGGGTTGGATTAGATGCTTGATGCAGCTCGAGGTTGCGTTTGAGTGTAGGCCAGCGCCGTCGTAGTCGCCAGCCACGCCATGTAGCTTGTATCAGGACAGCAGCTCGATGTCTCGTCTCCCACCTCAGACACTCTAGCTGCTGACGAACACCCTCACTGCAACAACATCCCAACATTTAGCGCTGTTTAGATTCTTCTTCTCATCCTATTGTGAATTACTATTTTTGGTTTTAATAGTTCTAAATTTTGTTAGGTAACATAAAACATAAAGTTACATGGTACATCCCAATGCTGCAAGAGATAAATAACGCCCTGTCATCATCTTAATTTGATTGTTTACTAAATAAATGTTAAGGGTTACTGTTAAATACATACAAATAAAAAGTTTTCAAAGTCTTGAGGAGACAAAGGATAGGATAAGCAGGCTTTACCTTTAGAAATGTAGGCATCACACTTCACTACAGTAACACAGAAGAAAACACAATATAAACACTGAATATTTCGAGGCCACAACTGGCCCCTTTCTCAACATTGAGGGTCACTTTAGATAGTTGAAGTCTTTCACTCTCATCATTAATTATTAGTCTCTTTCAAGTATCTAATGTGACTCTCAATGTTGAGGAAGGGGCCAGTGGCCTCGAAATATTCAGTGTTTATATTGTGTTTTCTTCTGTGTTACTGTAGTAAAGTGGGATGCCTACATTTCTAAAAGAAAGCCTGCTTATCCTATCCTTTGTCTCCTTAATTCTCAGGCAATAAGCCTTTCTATTCAAAACTAGTCTTCAAAGTCTATATTAGTTTGATATATTATATTGTTGTATGTGGGGAAAAGCTAGATAGTTCACCAATTATTTTGCTTGCCAGAATATTTAACACCACAATACGGCTGCCCGTTTCATCCTTTAAATGCTAGTAGCTTTTTGACGGATAATTCCAATCTCAAAACTGAACCCAGTTGTCCTTGGATCACTGAGCTTTTCTTTAGTCGTATCTGACTAAAGAAATAGGTAGCTGGTCTTGGTCTGTAAGCAAGTTTTAAAAGGTCACTCTATCTACGAATGTCAAATGAACGGGTTATCTCATCACACAATTACCTGAGGAAAATATGCCTCTTTCCAAAGGCCCAACTAGTGCTGACTTGACTGATGGGTTGCTTCAGCTCGTGTTTCTCTTCTAGACATTGCAAGATGAGTCTGCAGTCTTCTGTTGTCCGCTCCTCACATCGTCGCAGCTTCCCCCATGGTGCCAATAGCCGATATCTAGCGTTGAACGCCTTGAATCTCATTCGATGTGGATAACCTGAAATATCCAAGCTGGATTACAATCATACTCAAGTATCAAAACGTTGATGATGATTTAAATGGCTGACTTAAACATTTTGGAATTCATATATCCTAGCCCAAGACATGTTTGTTAATGATGTAAAGAAAAAAGGACGCAGAAAATGTTTTGACGTAACTGATACAAACAAGAATCGGACAGAGCAGGGCACTTTCACTAGTACCTGCACTTGCTTTGACTAAAAGCTGCTGCTATAGTGTTTACTCCTCCAGGCTTTAGCATTGTTGGTGGCCCTTTCATTCTCCTCTCACTAAAACCACTGGTCTTTGAATGTGTAACAATTGCATTGAAACAAAGACTAAATAAAAGTGTTCTCTGATTACTTGTTCTTATGCACCAAAATAAATGATCAATAATCAAATAATTTTAATTATAGAACAAATTACTCATTGATTCTTCAGTTAGAGTTACTAGATTGTACAATTACTGTAATAGTTTTGTTTGTTGCACTAACCTCCAGCCATCAGGTTGACCGTTTCTAGCACCTGCAGTGACCGAATCTGCCGCATTACTGTCGGCTTGTCGAAGCGACATGGCACCTCATTAGCATTCGCTCGTAAACAACGAACAAAGTGTGGTCTTGCATGCACTAATGTTCGCAGCAGGTTGTCCAGGCGAGTATGAAAGTCTTGCGTTAAAGTTGAAACTGGCTCATCTCCATTCAACCTGTTAGTGAAAGAAATTTATATTAACTTTTGTGAAGGCAGCCCTCACATATTGAAAACTTATCTTTCATTCTTAACTGATCTTCAATAAACTAAACTATCAGATGTCAGGTACTAAGAAGAAGTTGAAATACATGTTAGGCCTACAAAAACGTTGTGCTTTGTAGACCTAAACCAACTTTTATCTCAACTTTACATATGAGTTGAAAAAATCATATTGCACAACTAATTAATTATTACATTTAATCATTACTGTTGTTGGACCTGAGCTTCAAAACATGATGAAAAATTATTTTATGTACTTTTTCATGGCTGCTTCAACAGATATACATACAATATTGATCGCAGCTAACTGATTTAAGGTTTTAAATCACTGCTGTCCTTAAAACCTTTGCTCTACTGGTCGCCATATGCGACGATGTGATCATTGCCATGGACCGAGATATACATTTCAATGCAACACATAGTCACTTGGTAAACAGGACATGCAGACCACGGGTGTAGGGGTACAGTTTTCTATGCAGTGATGCAGTAAAGTAAAAAACAGTTTTGCCAACTATCATGATGTTACTAACCATCATATCCACAGACTAAGTGGTATTTGTGACAGACATCCCTGTAGACCACTGTAGAGAATTCAGGGCCTTCAAATTGACCGTTACGGAGATATAAGCTTTTTAATAACATTTGACAAATTAATGAATATTTGAATGAAAAATTTAGTACTATTGCAGTAGTGAATGTGTTAAGTCTATTGGTGGGGTTTCAATGTGTTTTTAAGTTTAATTAGAAACTCCTGTGCATTTTCATGTTCAATTTTCAATTTTTTCATTTGTATTTTTATGCTTTCTACTTTCACTTACATATCAGAATGTGACGTTGGAGAGATTCTAAAGCTTACTCCTCGTGGTACAGTCTCAACTGAATATAAAGCTTTCAGCTCACTGCCAAACAGATGAGTGGCAAACCCAAAGTTGCACGTCTGCTTGTGAAAAACTGCGACCAAGTCATCTGGCACCACGTCTTTGTTGGTGTCTAAAGCAGAAACAGGTTGTTTTTTTAAATTGCTAAATCTTATGGACATAAGCCATTACTTCCTACATTGTGAGATTGGTTTATATCAGTATTGTAGTAAGAGAAGGGATTAAACTGTCAACAAATGTTTGACAACGTTGCAAGAGTTGGCTGCGGAAGTATTATAAAACAATAATTTTTTTGTTCTTACATACTGACGACCAGATGGCTTGCTTTAAATTGATCTATGTATTTGTAGGAGGTAGTTTGTGAGTCCCAGGTCGTTGGAGACATGGAGCTTAAGGCATTTGACTTTTGACAAAAATTTTGACAATTTGACTAAAATTGAGTTTGAAAGTTATTTTCATAAATTGAGATTTTTCCATGCTACTGAAACTCTTAGGTTTCACATAGAATCTTATATTGTGTACCTAGAAAGTCTGTCGCATCGTAGATGACTTTGCCAGCAAAGTGTTGAATGCCAAAAGTTCTAGGTTCGATGGGCTTGGATTCGATGAGCCTTGGGTTTTGTCTATGTTGTGCCTTCACTTTCGCAATGTAAGACTCAGACGATCCTCGAATGGAACATTCTACATCCAACATGCTGAGCAGGCCAGTGCGCTGTAGGAAACATGGGATCAGTTTAGTTCAAAAGTATAATTTAAAACACAAATTATACAATATAGTTTATTAGGGCTCTACTTTAGGAAAATTCAGTGAAATGATGTGTACATAAGTGACGCCGCTGAAGTTAGACAACACACGGGGACAACGATATTTAGTGTTTACGATAAATATTTATTCGATATAATTCGAATAATATAATATTATAATAACGGCGCTGCAGTCGCCTCCGCCTCCTCGTCGAACTTGTATAATACAACAAACTGCGACATGGTTTCACTGCATAACCTCCTCTGCATGCATTTATACCACATCCAAATATTTTTATCTTTCCGAAAGAGAGGTAATGGAACCCCGTTCCACCACGTTACGCCGCAAATCAAGCACTGGAATATAGGAGTGCCCCATGAACGCCAGGTAAAATACTTATGTTCAAGGGCACTACCATATTGCTAAACCTACAGCTGTCAAGTTTTCAGCAGTTAGATCACATTTTGCTACTTACCAAGGATGATATGAGATCTATGCACGGTACGTTGTCTACATAGTCCACCTCAACGTCACAATGGATTCCCTCATCCCGGCAAGATTCTATACTGGATTTGAAGATGTGGGTGTTGTAAAAATGCTGCATTGTTTCCGCACACAAGTTGATGCACAAGTGCTCTAGCTGGCTGGGCTGAAGTAAGAGGAAAGCATTAGTGATGACATTGATTGTGTATCCAGCATGGCTTGGATATATAACTTTAACACCTCAAGACTCATCTAGAGAAACTCATAAAAATACCTTGAACTTTGATTTCACCAGAAGGAATTTTAATAAACAACGACCCTGATATCTGATCTAGTACATGACTCTTCTGTAGTAAAAGGGAAAAAGCCGTAGTAAGCCAAGCCTCTTAGTTTTCTGAAACCTACTACTTATTCTGAAAACTACTGTACTGATTCAAACTAAATACACCCAGAATGGTGTCATTGATCTATTCATCATTTTACTCACTTTAGGGTCCTCGAAGCCGAACATGTCGAGTATTCCGATAAAGCCGTCGGTGGCATGCCTAACTGCGTTGTTAAGAGCCGCCATGGATTTACTGGACTTGGAACCAGCTGTTCCAACTGTGGATGCATGCTGACTAGCGACCTAACATCATTATATACATTATATTTCATTATTAACTATGTTAATGTAATATAGATAATATATGTATGTATCAGTAAAATGTCAATCCTAAATAATGTATCCATTAAAACTATGAGGGAACTTATGCCAAGATAATGCTCAGGTAGTTGGTACTACCCTGTTGAACTTTAAAACTTTAAACGTTCAGTGTCTTATAATTTTTTCATCTCTCAATCTACTAAAATAGTTAAATAATTTAAATACAGAAAATAAAATGACAAATGTAACAAACATATAATACAAAATGATCAACCAATACTCAATAGTGTCTGCCAGAAAGCATGGGATAAAATACCCTACATCCAGTAACATTTTCTTGATTCTGACTTTTACATTTTAATAAATTCACTGACAATTATATATGTTTCAGTGGCGTAGGGAACTGCGTTCCCACCCTTTTTTCAACAGTAACTTACTATGAATTAAAACCTATTTGTTAGTCAGTTCTTAGATAATGGTGAGTATTCTCACACTGGACATTTTACAACTACACCACTGATAAATTTGTCAGGTATATAAAAGTAAATATGTTTAAAGGACAATAAAGATTCTTATTCTTAAAAAGATTCTTATTCTTATACTTGTAGCTTTAGGACTGTAAATATCGGGAGGAACTGTGACACTACGATTGCGATCTTGGGATGAAGAGTAAGCATTAACTCACTTAACATAAAATCAACTGGTCACATCAACCTATTTACAGTTACACTCACCTCTGCTTGGTTATGCACAGACTCGTTGGAGTCCGAGCTCAGAGTGCCGAGAGTAGACCCTAGCCTCTTTAGACTGTTGGCCCTCCTGACTATGGTAGCGACCGTGCGGCAGTAGAGTGCTTTGGCTAGTGAGTCACGAGTCATGTTGGACTGTAGACAGAATCAGAATATTATGAACTAGTCCATGTGATACATTGAATCATTTGGTATGATTCTTTTTGAGACTGCATGTTTTGAGAAGGACTTATGTGATCTTAATTCAGATTTCTAACTGGAAATAAATATACTGTTGAAGCTTACAGTGGAATATATTACACAATACGAGTATGACTGGCAACAGACGAGACGCTTGTCTTGGACCCGAAACGCACAGGTAAGCTGAGCAAAAATCAGAATCTGATAACAATGTACCTTTTGTTAAAGGTGGTTAGATGCCGCTTAACCGTTGCCCCACCCCACATGAACTGGTTTCCGTTCTATTCTGTAATAAATTGTACTATAGTGTATAGTATTATGATTTGACAAGAATTGGCTTTGTCATTGAATTAGTATATGGGAGTAGCTGCGGCTTTCCAGATGCGTTGCAGTAATCCATTTCCAGGGAAAAGTTCTCATTAAGATTGGAAGTAAATAAATATATCTTGTACATTAAATCCAGTCTTTACACACCATGTTGGCATCACACCAATCCAACGACACGCTCATCTTCTAGGATCAAGATTGGACAGTCTACTTGGTCAAGATTGGAAAGCCTCATTAAGATTGGAAGTAAATAAATATATCTTGTATATTAAATCCAGTCTTTACACACCATGTTGGCATCACAGACAGACTTGACAAGTTGTCCTCTAGCGTTGTGAGTGCGCGATGTGATGCCTCGGAAGAGCGCAGCCGACGTCACTCCTAGCAATCCCGATACAGCCGTCAACTCTGTGTCTCCCTTGACAGTCACCTCTAGCCCTCCGCTGTCTACAAACTGTACGTTGCCAAGCAGCAACACTGCGGCCAGCACTCTGACAACGTCCAGGAACGGAATACCCAGCACTCCTGTAAACCAAACACTCAATTGTTAGATTAAAAGTACCTGTTCAAGTTTTAAGCACAACATTTGAACAAACAATTTTGAAGCTAGTTAATATTGAATTAATTTCTGAATTAATGTAATATAATAAATCAGAAAGTACTGAGTTTGTAAACAACCTATGGGTCATTTATAGTGTTCCCTAAAAACAGGAAAATGTGAAAAAATATTTAACGAATACATCCTTAATGCACATGAAATTAAATACTTGACGGTCTAAGAATGAGTTGAAAATGACAATTATCAATTATCAATTATTTCAGATGGAGACGCCACTATGTGCGTATTTTAACCCAAATATGAGTGAAGGATGAGTGTAGGATGAGTGGCGCGATCTTGTAGCCTTGTTAGTGACTAAGGCCGACATGTTCCTTAGACACAGCTGTTAATTAATGGACAGATATGGTGGAAATGATAAAATGGTGACAGGACTGTGATGGTACTGTGCTAGCAATGTTTTGGCACTAGCACTGTCAAACCATAGATAACACACCCCAAGCCCTAAATGGTATTGCAGGGGGTTTTTTAAAAATTGGTAGGATCCCTAATAAACAAAAAAATGATTATGATGTAAGCATAGCCTCCTCTATACAAGCGGCGTTGGTGTGTGGCAATGTGGCAACAGCATGCCTATTGCCGTGGTAATAACAGAAATAACAAAAATGTAAACATAAACATTGTCCATTATAAATTAGTGCAACAGCGGTTTCGGTTTGCCGGGACAGCGTTGTTGCCACTTTTGTCTCGCCGCAGCCTTGTGTATTAGGGGAGGCTATGGTATTAGTCCTTCTCCATTTGTGAAGTTTCATTGACTGGTGAGGCCACCAGGGTTTTTGATGTGTTGTCAGACATGGTTGACAACTTTGACAGAAACTGTGTGAGTTAGAAACTGTGTGTGTCAGAAACATTGTGTATTATGAGTAAGCAGTCTGTCCCAGCTGTTGGTAAGAAGGGTAGTTGTTTGGTTGTTGGTTGTTGTTTGTTGGGATGTTGTGGGGTTGGTTGGTACGTTAGTTTGGTGATTGGATTGTTTGATTAGTAAAGGAGCTAAATTTAAAACTGGTTGTCAGTCTATAAGGTTAAGATCAGAAAGTTAACAAAAGCGTTTCTTACCTAAACAAGCTTTCCACGCCTGAAACCTAGCGGCATCATCAGCTTCGTCTTGCCTTGTGTCTCCGTGTTGTAGATAACACAAATTGCTTGGAGAGTAGCCTTCCAAGTTCAGTTTTGCTGAAACAACCAGTCAGTAGAAATATAAATATAAATGGTATAAATTGACCAAAGAAAATAAAACCACAAGCTTCCTTTATCATCCTTGGACACGGTTTGATTTTGCTAATAGTACAGTTAGCTGCAAATCTAAGGCATAACATAATTTGATCACAGAATTTTTGTAATATGACTGTCAAATAAGCAAAGCAACATTCCAAGCAAGAACGACTCAGATGCCATTTGTCAGCACTGGCTATCAATAATTGATGATGCCATCCAACAGAAGGTCATTAGATGGTAACAACAGCGGGGTTTAGACCTCCCTTTAAAAACTTTTATAAATGTGAATGGAGGAGATACACACACAAACAAAAAAATTGCAATTTAATTTAAAGTCTTGAATGAAGAGTACTAAGACTGTATGACTGTATGAACAAATTTTAGTAATAACTAAACCTTAAGGTCAGCATAAGTCTAAATGGGTTGGCAAAAGGAAAATTATAAAATAAACCACTAATTACCTCGCTCTTCTGGCGTTAGTCCAGCTAGCATCTGGTAAAATATGTGGTAGTTCTTTTCATTAGGAAGTGGTCTTATGACTCTGGTTTGATCCAAGAAGTAGCAGTGGATCTTGGTGCGATACAATGCTCCGTCAGTTACCTGCACCTCTATGAAATGACCCTGAACACATCACATAAACATAAGAGTGGAAACTCACTCGCAATTTTAATCAAGGATTGTTGGATGAGAATTGGTACAATTTATGCTTAAGTTTATATTAAGTAGTCCTTTTGACATGAAAGGTTGATGTACAAAAGACAGAAACTGTATTTGACAGCAACAGATGATGGTGTTCATATCTAACAGATCAAAACTTTCAGTCTAATCAATCTGACATTGATGACACACTTACAATTCGACTAGATTCAGAGTTTGAGGTTGTTTTGGCGGAACCAAGGGATCGCAGGACTGTGAACGCCGCAGCGAGGTGTTTGAAGGCGTCCGTCTCCGGGCCTCCACCCGCTACGTCGAACAGCTGACGTAGGAGGAGCATAGAGGCATAAGTTTTCCCTGAACCACTCGTCCCTAATGAACAAACAGTATAAAGAATAAATGTTAAACACACTTGTTATTACTGAAAGCAGCAATACATCTTAACTTGCTTATCATAAGCTTGCCTAACTTAAGCTGATTACTCTTAATATGATAAGGACAGTCAGAATGCTGTTTCTCTAACCAAGATCATTTATCAAATCCAATTTGATAAATCCTGACAAGTTATAATTACAGTTTCAAAAGCTTCTGACTTTTCTCAGGATCAAACTAGTTACCTGCTTAACCATCCTTTCACTTCACTAAGAGAGGAACACATTTTGTGTCTTAAATTGAATGAATTCTGAATTGAGTGAGATGATGATGAAGTGTAATTGAGTGAGATGATCTAATAGTTACTCAAAATCAGCAGTTTTCAGCTTGCAAAATTACATTAAAATCCCAGTGACCAAGGACAGCTAGGTCCAATTCTAACCTTGGAGCACTTGTCTTGGTGCTTTGGATTTAACTTAAAGGAAATTTTATTTTGGTTTTATTTTATGAAAATTTGTTGCATTGCAAGTACTGTACAGTGTGCTACGTATTATCACTCATTATCTTCATATTCTTTGGTGGCCCTAGAATTTCTGAACGATGCTCTTTAAATACTCTAGAGGTTGAATAGTTATAATTTCCATATGAATAATTCGGCCAGGTTCCTGGAGCCATCAAAATATATATCCCACACCACTCCTCGTAATTAAAATAAACATTACCTAAAAGCAATCTGACGCATTCTTTCTCCCATTAGCTTAGTAGGAAACTATGGTATTTTATGGGTAGAATCATAAAGGTTGTAATAAATCTTGAACCATAATTTTTACAGCAATGCGGGCTGTACCATTCTGTTTAGACTTATAATCACCATCAAAATACAACTAAACTTTCATCAAAATAAATAAAGAATTTATTTAAACATCTGATTTTCTTGTTATTTTGGGGTTTTTAAATGGGAAAATCACATAAGCTACAATACATTTTGAACCTTAATTTTTACAGCAATGGGAGTTCTACCGTTAAAATGACTATATCATACTAAATTTTTATAAAAATCGTCTGGGGTATTTTTGAGAAAAATCTATTTTATTGTTATTTTATGGGGTTTTGTGGGGAAATCAACATCAAAAATATAAATTTAAAAAAAATGAAAAAACACCTGGAGATACATGGATTAATCACAACATACCAAATTCCATCAACACATCCACACATACAGACAGACATCCACACACACACACAGACACAGGAATCACTCGCTTCAAAAACCACTTATTGGGGTTCAGGGGTACCTACCCAACACTTATATATTTACCAAATACTCAAACTCAAAAATTTTGACAAAACATTACCTGTACTTTCTCTATATACTATATATAGGGGGATGAAGTAAAAATATTTGATTTTTGTTATCAACAAATTTATTAGTTCTTACCTGAAAGAATAATGGCCTGGGGGTAGCCAGTCTCACTTTGTTGTCTCACCGCTTCCTGTACAACCCTTAGCAGTTTGGGAGATAGAGACACTCCCCTGGTGCTGGTCAGGGTGAGAGGGTTACGTATGTCAGTATAGGGGTTCACCGATAACAGGATAGGTCCAACATTGGTCTGAAACAAGGGAAGTAAATGTAGAGGTTAAACTAAACAGTGTATATCTTCTAGTTTTCATTAGGATAAGTTATTTGGTAACTAATTGGTACCATAGATTTAACATGCTTAAAGAACAAATCATGTAGATTTGAAATCAGTTTTGACGGTGCTCGATTTCTAAAAAATGAGGTGCGGGAACTGTAACCTATTTAATGTGATTAGTATCTATGCACCTATTTGTGACAATATTTTCTTCTCTTTTTCTGAAAGAGAGGTATTGGAACAGGACCCTGTTCCTAAACAAGCTTTGAGTTGTCCTTAGATCAACAGAAGATAATTTTTAAGTTAGTCGTGTCATGATTTATGTAGTGTTTGTTTTAGCTTTTATTTAATATTCGAGTGTTATTAGTTTTAAAACTACTTTAACTGAACTCGACAATATATTTACAAAATATTGTTGCCTATCTTATTCTTAAGAGTAGGCATAAAGATAAACTCGTAATCTCCACCCAAAATAAGAGAGTGACATGACAATACTGGACATAAGTAAAACTGCCATCAGTCACGGCCACCTTAACTGCCTCTAATCAAAACAGCAGTTACCACTACTTGCGACGTTGCCACTTCGAAGGCCGCGGCCAGGAGTTAAAGGCGGCCGTGCATCAGTGCACTTTAAAGGTGAAAACACGGACGAAACACACAATATACTTAAGATTTTAATATAGGACGAGAAGCCTACTTGTACTATTCATAGTCAGTTTTGGGCCTAGCTGGTTTTGATCTGGTGTAAAGCCTAGGCCGGGTCGCGAACTCTGCCCCTAGGGTCTGGGTAACGGAACTGCGTCTCAGCTTCACAACACAACGTAGAAACTTCACGGCGGGCGCCCACTCGCCCACTTCATCACTTCAATCACTTCATAGTTCATAGCACTCTGCTTCAGAGGTTAGGGCTACCGTTCAACATCAATCTGGGGCAGATTCGCTTATCGATATTTCTGTCGCTCACAGTTTTGTGTGAATAGTGTCGTATTTACATTTTGGATGGAAACACTGGTGTAAGCGTAAGGTCTACTAAAGTAAGCGTAGTCTACTTTTTAACATACTTCACAAGTGTTCTTTAGCCATGTGAAAAGTCGACGTTTAGCTCAGTCATTAAAGATATAAATAAGGCAGAAGTCGGAAGTAATTTTGGGGAAGCTGGATTTTTCTAAGCTGTTAGACCATGTTGAGATGAGTATTTTCCCAATAGTCCCCACTTCTCCCCCTTGTGCTTTCCTCTCACCCCCCCTTTTTAGATAAATTTACAGTCTCTTAGAAAATCAGCTATAACTTTAAAACGGGTTAGGATAACAATGCAATCTTTTGTTAATCCTTTTGAACTCATCCGAGGACACTAGACTGTAGCTCTGAACCGTTTTAACATTGACTTTAAAACACTATCTAGTTTATAGTGACACTTATAGTGTTTATATAGTCAATGGTTTTACTTAGGTAATGCTTAGTCAGTAGTTGGTAGTAGGCCTACCACACGGGGGCGTAGTTGCTTAAAAAAAAAAAAAAACTATTCAAACTACCCACCCAGCAAATGAATCGGGGAAAATGTCTCGGTGTTCTATTGCAGATGACTAAATGGAAACACAATAGCCAGACACTACTGACCGGGAATACTCCAAAATAAACAACAGACTTATCTGCATGCTACAGCAATTATAGGCTATTTACTTAATAGGAGACTGTAATGTACACCCAGGTAGGTGAGCGCAGCTCTGTTAAATAGTGTCGACAATAAATAGTGTGTGTGTAAACATATCAAGCCTATAACCGATCACGTCGCACCATATAATAGCCAATATGATGTAATTGCTCCATTACGCGTAATACCCATCAGGAAGACTGGTTCCGAACCCGTTGCCCACCATCAGTATAATGTCTAGGTACCTATATAGGCCTACACCAATCCAGATGGCCGCCTAGTTCCCGAGGGATGAAATATTCCCGGTATCAGCCTACAAGACACTGGGCGGCCGTATCATTAAAGTATGGGATGTAACTGCGGTCCCAGCCATTCTGTGGCGGTAAACGGCCGGTAAAACAAAATGAATCATGCAGCACGCCACGCCGAGGAACCGGTTTCCCCACACCCTGTAGAGCGCTGCTGCTCCCCTGGAAGTGGAAGCAACGATCACGCGAGCCTTCGGACATCATCTCGCATCTCGTCTTCATTCATGCTACTTGAACTGTCAATGATTACATTTGTTTTATTATCTCTAAAAGGTTCGGTCAGAAACACATTTCATAATACAAAATTATGGGGGCTTAAATCACAGTTTGTACACGTACACGTTGTTGTTTCACATCATACACAGCTGTTTGTTTATAGTAAAAACTTAATGTTAGACCAGCTAGACATGAATCAAAGTAATGGACCCTTAAGAACAATTATTTACAATCGCTAGGACTTTTGAATGATTTCAGTAACAAAAAAATCATAAAGAATACCTCAGTTATTAAAATATATACTAATTTATAAAAGAGTAAAGTTAAAGGAATTATCATACTAGAGTTAATGAAATTAATCCAGACATCTTATACGGTAGCTATTTTCTGAATTTTGATAGACAATACAATCTTGTCTCTATGTATGTGGTATCTCATAAATGCATTGGAAAAATAATACTATTGACTCGGTGACTATAAAAATATTTAAAAGATTGTACATAACGCAACGTTAATTTGTTGCAAATAAAATTTGATACAGAAACGCCCGTGTTATAAGTTATTGCCAAGGGTATAGTATGTTCCCTCTACTGCATGTCAGTAAATCAAGAGCGCACACCAGCATTATGTACTTGCCAAGTTGATTTATCGGATTCGTGACCTACCTGAACCAAATGGAGAAAGATCATCTTGTATCTGGGTGGGACGGCTGTCAATGCCACGGGCAAGATGGCGGCGACACGTGGCGTGCAGGTCAGAACATGCACGCGCACGCAGTCAAAGCCGAGGAGCCGCGGGTTTCTCTCTTCTCCGTGGTCTTACCATAATCACTTACCGCGGGCAAGACCCTTCAAATTCGTATTATGAAGAATGTTTCCTATCGAACTGAGTTAATCACAGCAATCACGGTAGCCACCGAGCCTCTAGTTTACACGTGGCTGCGGGACATGTTCCCAGACACGCCTCATGCCGCCAGACGTAATCAGTCGGCTACCGATCCCTAATGTGTAAAGTAGATTGTATTTCATGACTTCAAAAGTAGATTGATCATGTCTTCTTTTGAAAATGAATCAATGTTGTTTTGAGCACATCAATTTCGGCTTCCTGTTAAGAACTGGGGGACCTAAGTGAGTTTAGGATGTTGTAAAAGAAAATAAACTATTTTTTTACGTTCAACGACGAAAACATTTCAAGTTAAAAGTTTGATGGCACTTGCGTATCATACCAACCACACATATAAATCGACTTCCGAATAAGATTTTAAATAGTTTGAATAACAAAATCTTCCTAGCCCAACCCAACCTGACCTAACCACCCTTAGGTTAGGTAGGTTAGGTTATTATTAGGCGTGGTCGGTATAAGTTTAACAATTGCCTTGCTATCGGGCTATGGCCTAATCTTTTGTATCAGCATCGTAGCGATGGCACGTAGGCGAATACTAGTAGGCCGGACTACTAATGTGAGTGAATGAGCTCGTAACACCCCTTTTACCTTTTACCTCTTCTTTCTTCGCTACAATCCTCAGATCGGGGAGTCGTCAAAATTTCTCCTTCTTCATCCTCTTGGCAGCCTTTCAGCTAGCCCAATATAGGTGTGTATAAGCACAGACAATGGAGTAAACCATTAGAGTATTATATTGTCTGTGGTATAAGTGTGTTCTTGTATGTGTATTCCTTTGTTGAGTAGTATGGTTTGTTTATAAGGTAATTTTTTAGTGTTTTTACAAATGTGGTATGATTTGAAATATTTTTAATTTTGTCTGGTAGGATATTAATGTATTTAGATCCTGTGTATGTTGGGGTGTTGCTGAACTTGTTTAGTCTGTGTTGTGGCAGGTTAATATTGTTTTTGTGTCATGTGTTGTTATTATGATATTGTGATAGTAGCCTATGTGTTGGATTGGATTTCTTTGCTAGGATAATGGTTTCTAGGATATATTGTGAGAAAACGGTGGGGATTTTGAGCTGGATGAATAGGGGTCTACAATGTTCTAGGTAGTATGCCCTATATTGTTCGTAGCACTTTCTTTTGAAGGATGAGTAGTTTGTCCCCTTACACACATTGCCTCAAAACGAATTAAACCAAAAGGTATACTTACATAAAGTTGGCTGGCGCTAAACCTGGCGTGTAAACATTTGAGGACTGCATCCTCGGTGAGTGGCCCAGCCAAATGTATGAGATCCTCAAGCTCGGCACAGCCAACCGGCCTCATAGCAGTCTTGCCCGTCGTGTCTGCAAACAAAAATTTGTGTTATTATTGCACAATAGTAAATCATGTCTAACAAGAACCTACTTCATAAAGGCTACCCTTACTTAAATTAGGAGCAAATTATTCTTTTGTAACGGACTTATGTGATGGAAACGAGTTTTTACAGTACATGGTTGTCGGTTGATACAGGAATGAATCTTATTACCGATGCTGTATTAACATTTCTACATCTTATACTTCATTAGTAAATTGATGTCAATGACTATACCATTTTTAAATCACATAAAATGTACAACATTAATTTAACAAAACTCGGCTGTGGATAAGCTCAAATTCAGAGTAGGTCTAGGTCTAAAGGAGGTTCATCAAAATATTCAACAGCAAAATATTCAATGGTACGTTACTCCTAAGGCGAGTCACTAGTTATGTTAGCCTTGCTTCTTTTATCTAGGCTTCTAACAGAGATTTAACTTTGCCTGGTAAAATAAAGAATTTTTCATTTCATTTCATTTCATTTCAGATTTTGTTGTAGATGTTAATGACAACAGTGCATATTGGAAATGTCTAGTTGCCTTACAGTCTTACTCCGTGCTCAAGGACTGCAGAAAGGTAGATGCTAAACTACATACTACTGTGTATTACACCATTGACTAGGTATATAGTCAATGATTGCACCCATTCCATACATATTATTAATTATGATAATATAACACATAAATAATTTGCATGTAGGCCTAATCGGTTGTCCTATTTTACATTTAGTTAAAATGAATGTAAGTTTAACTGATAGCAGAAGTGAGACCTCTGATCCGAGAAACAAACAATTTTTGGCGGAGTATTTTTTTTAAACTGTAACAAAAAATTAAATCTCATCAAAAGTGGTTAAAGTACATACCTCCAATAATGGTAGGCCCGTTATTGGTCGCCTGGGTTACTGGCACAGGTAAAGGGTGTGGTTGGTGGTGTGGCCGAGGAAAAGTGGGGGGAGCACCACTCGTTGGTTGGCTAAGTGGTGTAGTAGTGGGGAGAGGTGTTGTCGTATTGGTTGGTATCGTGGTAGTGGGAGGTGCTGCTAACACACTATTGGGCTGGCCCTGGCCCTGAACATGCAGTCTGTTTCGAAGAGTCACCAACTCCGTGCTCAGATTGCGGAGTCTCTGTTGAAGATGAACCGCTTCATTGGATGAGGATGCATCTGGAAAAAATAGGAACATTGACAACATCTTTTAAAATGTTCGTAAATACAAGATATTGTAATTAGAAAAAAATCTGACCCATAATATAGATGAAGTAATTTTAATACAGTACAGTATTGCTAAATCTATGACCAGTATCCAATAATCAATAAATAATATTACGTACTAGAGATAGAAACGGGAAAAATAATGCACAAATGGCATAATATGATAAAGCCCGAAGCATTTAACAGGAAGACGTCACGTAATGCAAATTGAAGTGTATAAGGTTTAACGAAGAAGATAGTCTACGATCACACAAATATTCCCTACACTCATTTAATGCTTTAAGCTGATTCATTATTGATTGCCATCCAAGAACATGCCTAGTCTACTTTGAGAACTCCGAAATGCAGATAAAAAGCAAGTTGAACAGTAAAGATCGAGGAAGAAAAAAAATGTGTTACCACAAAACAAGCTTTGCTCTCGTGTCTACTGCATTATGACAACTAAAAACAGTTGGGATATAAACCCCCTGTTCGAATTCAAAAATGTCGAGAAATATAATGATCTCACAAGCTACAGGTTGTACAATTGCAGCATAGCTCCATAGGTTGCTCCATAGCTGCATGTGCTGCTCGCTCCGCCCATCCCCACCACCATTCCCCATGTCGAACAAGTCGCCTGAAAGCGAACTATCTTGACGGTCAAGTAGTATGTGAGTCGTATTCATTATTTGGTTTTACATGACGTCCAACGCAACTGCAAAGCAAATAACTCGTCAAAAAGTGGGTTCTCGTATTCATCTATTTAATTCAAAAGACCAGAGAGCCATTTAGCCCAGTAAAATTAGACTAATCGGGTGATATAATTTCCGAAGAGTTTGAACGTTGTTTAGACGTTCCTTTTGTTCGTTGGATTGAAGAAAATAAAAAGTCCTGATGGGTGGGGTCGAGCTTGACTCTAAATGTGACTTTTTTTAGTTTTTAGCTTATTACATCGGAATCTGTAAGTTGTATTGAAAAGTGTTAGATACACAAGTTAAAGCTGACAAAATTTCCCACAAAAAGATTCTACGTACTTTTGTCGTAAGACTTAGCCGTTTAGGGCTAAAGGATAAAGAAAATAACATGGTCGTTTATATCGTTTAAGCTAGCGGATCCAGGGGTTCTTCAGGGTAGTCCTCATTCAAGGAATCGTCGTCTACTGGAGGGTTATTTTAAGTGCACGCTCCCTCGCAGTTTCCGCACATTGTTGAGCAGTGGATCCCCGCTTTACGGCACCCACAACCTTTTGTATAGATACAAAATATTGTTGTGAGGATAACAGCCGGAGCAGCAAGATATAAGGGGTTGTAGATGTCGTTCGGTACCCTAATCAGTTGGCGGTATTTTCCCCAGCAATTCTTGTACTTGCAAATAAACACAGTATACTCTCTACGATTGTTGCTGAGCAGAGCCTTTCGTTTGTGGTAGGTAGAGACGGGAGGTCTGCCTTCAGCCTAGTGAGTGGTGGATTTGATAAATGCGATGTATCAGTTTTTGTCCAGATCTTTTTTCTCAAAATTTGTTCACTAGGATCATCCACTCACCGGCTGTCGAGACTTACTTTTGCGTCGAAGTCGAGCTGTAAAATATGTTGCAGATGGTATAGAAACTGGTATCCCTAATAAAAAAATTCACAATTAACAACTTGCATTTTCTGAATAATGACGAGGTGGTATCACACCCACTAAACCCTGAATTAACAATATGCTTCTGGCAAAGTCACATCATTTCTGTAATTCAACTGAGGAATACGTTCTGCTTTATACTTTACCTTTTCCTGGTATGAAGAATATAATTTCTTGCTCGAGTGGAGCTTATGCAATCATCAGTACCAGCATTGATGAACCTTCAACCTGGCTTATTTTTGTCATTACAAAGAAAGTTTTCTTGCTGTACAGTCACTGTAATTTCTTCAGTGAAATCAATGTCGACTGATACGGTCTTGTTGGTGGCTCGTCGTTGTTGTTCATCATGTTTTATGCTGTTGACAGTATCTGAGTAACCATCAAACACAACAGTGCAGCACACATTGGTTAATACAACTGAGAACTGAGATACATGCGATTTAAGTCCGTTTCACAACTTATGAAGCTCATAGTTTGGACATAGTTGTCCCTAGGGCTAAAATGCTTAGAAGCTTTTTTTTGTATGGAATTTTGTCAGCTTTATCTGTTGTACAGAACACTTTTCAATATGACTTAAAGATTCTGATACATAAGCGAAAAACTACCCTTCCCTTGGTCAAGCTCGATCCTCACCCATCAGGACTTTTTATTTTCTTCAATCTAATGAACCAAAGAAAGTTTTAACCAAAGTTCCAACTCTCCCTGAATTATTTCACCTTAAGGATTTTTTTTTGTTTTATTTGACTGGGCTATGTGGTTTGACAAAAAAATTGTCGAGACATTTGATTGCAAGTACTGTACAGTCAAGTTACTATCTCTGATGACCATTGCACATTTAAATCTCGCAGCCTGCATGACAAATAGTCGGTTAAAAATTAAAAAATGATGTTATGTTAAGAAAATTTATTTTTTCAGCAGACATGTATATTTTTACATTTTTCCATTGTCTGTTGGATGCACTGTATTTTATGTTAGATGCCTGTAAAAATATTCACAATCAAACTACAGCCATTTAAGAACCACTTTACATTTTATGGATACGATAAGTTATGGGATTTGTCATGAAGAGGAACATAAAAATTTGCTGATGTTAGTAGTTATAAGAGGAGATACTTTTACAATCACGGGGGAATAACCGAGAACTAAAAGCAGGTTTTATGTCCTACAATAACCATAGAAATGATCAGAGGAAAAACAAGATATAGCTGCGAAGCCATTAGATCCACATTCCTCCGCCGCATGTGGCGGTCACAGAGTACGAGTCGGGCCAATATATTGTCCTGGAAACAAGATACGATAGTACCCGCAACTCATGCAATCGCCTACATTAATAGCGAGGCATAGGCTATTTAACGGAAATAATTTAGGCAAAACAATTTGTACACAAAAAGTTACATTTGATGTTGTTGCGCTAAAATGATATTTTGCGCGTCTTATCACAAGTTTCAACGTGAACAGTAGAACTATGTAACAAACTTTGCTATAAATGGTATAAACGCCTGACTATGACAACCTTTCTTCATGTCGTAGAGGTATGCCCAAAGCATGAGTATGGTGCATCACTTTGGTGTTCTAACCTGTAGCTGAGACGCAGACGATACCATAACCAGTCAGCTACCAAACTGTTGAACGTTGTAGTTGGGCTTGGACAGCTTACCAATTTTGACAAACCTTACAAGTAAGTACCTGGATTAGAATAAATGAATGAAGATAAATATGTGGCACAATGATCAATCGTGAAAACTAATCTTTTATTTCCTTAGTCGATGCTAATACCAAGACCAAAACGAACAATACAGCAATTACCGACTTCTATCACTGTTGTGGCATTAGTGATGCCAAAAAAGCATCAAACATGACGGTGCAGATCGGTAGCCGAACATTCCGTAGAGAAATTAACTGTTGTTAGGTTGGTACATGAATAATCCTCTTGTCTGTTGCCAGACAACATCATTGAGAGCTGTCAAATCGTCCCGTCTTTCTACCTAACTTCCTGAAACACAAGAGCCTAGTCGTGCAAAGAGCTCTTTATTGAATGCACTGTTCAGCTTCATAGCTACAATCATAGCTTCATAGCTACTTAGGCTGAGTAGCAGACTATTATTTGCAAGAGAGTTGCCATCAGCTAGAAGACAACTAAACTATCCTACTCAGATAAATCAACAGCACCAAATATTTCCAAAGTTTGGGTTTAAACTCAATCACCAATGTCAAAATTTCAACATAGCTTACAAGTGGAAAAGAACAACGGGCCTGGATCCCTCAGTATAAACCCCATCAGCGTTGCATAGTGGAAAAAATGCCGATGAAGATAATCTATTTTCAGATACTGAATCAAATACAATATTGAGTTTCAGGTCCATCCTTCCTTGATTCATAAATCATTTTGGTTATCAAATCATCAAAAATGAGGTTCTCATATTTTTGGATGAAACCGTAAAATTAATTCCCTGTAGGTAGTTTACACTTCTGTATACATTGAACTTCTTCTTTCATTGTGTTTCAGTGAGTGACGAGCTCATGGGGGCTTTCATAGAACTTTGGGGCCGTTGGTGTTAAAGCTGCGACACTGTATGCTAGATTGAATGGGGATAGCCCAACTCCGCACGATGGTCATATTTTGGATGAATAGTTTTATGGCCCCCAAGGTTCCAGTCCAACTCCGCGAGGTGGCCAAATCAAATCTCTACGCTACCCACCACTCTTTAACTTTTACGTGTGCTCTCAGATCCAGATGCTATGTAGTGTTTAATATAAAATATTCCATATATTTACTGGTGTCCCAAAAGTAATACTTTTAGTTACTTTGTTCATGTGTCAGGTTAGGTTGGGTTAATAATTATGTATTGCAGACTTTGGAACATATAAATTCAATGAGACATAACTTACTTACTAGTAAACTTTTTTTAGTTACAGTACAGTTCTCAAAGACGTAGGCCTACATTTATACGAACTTAAAACTTCAAATACAAACTCTCCAAAATTGGCCACGGCACGGATTTGGGATAAGCCCAGAAGCTGTTTGTCTAATCTGTCAGTAGGCCTACTTGTGAGCAAGTACTGTACTATGAACTTCAAGGCGCAGATTGTCCAATGAGTATGCAAATCCAAAGGGTCTTCAAGATCCGTCTTCTGACATATTTTCTTTCAGGACTATATTCAGTAATCTCGAACTTGGTGGGCTATGATAATGAAGTGTTTGTGTGCCCTAACAAATGCAGCACGCAAAGATTACACGTCGACAGACCGGTTTCAACCCTAAGTAGGCCTACACCTGACCGCGAGGTCGCCGACAAGTGCCTGAGGCTAGAGTCGGTCCCTCCCCCGACGTTTTTGTCCCCAACATTA